ATCAATAATCAAACAAAAAAAGATTGTGTACATCAAAGTTATGCAGAAATATATATATATATATAAATGTATATTATATAAAACGCAAGAACAAAGTTGGCGGAAGATACCAAACAAATTATCGGTACCAATTTTACTGCACCAGATGCGCATTTTGACAATTTACGTCTCATTAATGATGCTCAAAGCCAAAACATTTGAAGGTCCATAGTAATTAAAATTAAAAAAAAAAGATAATACCAAGGGAAAAAAGGAAAAACGACGAAAAGAAAAAACAATAGTCTACAAAACAGTAAATATAAAACTAAATCCTTTGCAACACGTACCCAAACAAAATAAAGGTGGTCTTTAGTTGCTCGTGTTGTTCATGGCAACAAAATAATAATGATACAGACAAAAACAATAGTCATTCAGACAACTGTGCATCACATCAATGCATATATATCTAACCCGTAATAATCAATAAACAGCTAAAAAATAATACCAGTCATTCAGAGAAAAATTTATTTGATAAATGTTCCACCGGCTATTTTAATTGAATCGTAATTTCAATGTTTGAGTTAAGTGTGTTTGTGTTGATAGTAATATCGCTTCTCCGGTCATATTTGCGAGGAAGGAACAGTTAAACCCAGGCATAGATGGCCTAAGTCGTTTTTGGCACAACGTTTCGGAATTTGTGGCTTTCAATTCTCTTTTATGCTTGATTGATAAAGAGCCTTCAAACTTTTTTGGATTCGAGCGCCACTGATGGGTTAAATGAAAACTGGGGTGACAAATAGTACGCCTGCTATCATTGATTATTTCATTACAATTTCAGATCATCTGTGTTCCCGCCAGTTTTGTTTTTAAGGGGTATGTGGTGCTCAATCATCAGTTTTTCTTTCTACTGTTTTGTGGACTGTCTTTTAATTGTTCACCATTTAATTTATAGTCGCGGTCTTGTCAGTCATTCTTTGACATAAGATTTTTGTTTGCAGCCTTGACATTCCTTCTTCTTTTTTGAAAACCACATGTTTATTTCAACTGATTTTCATTGTATACTTAGATAGCTGTCTCATTGACACACTTCACATATCTCCATATGTATGAATAGTAATCAAAAGTATTATTGAAAAGCAGATTTCATACATTACATTGGTTTGGACCTTTTTACCTTTCTCAGAGAGATATAGAAATGATCCAATCTCCTTATCCATATGTTTACAAATTTAAATCTTAATTGAAAATCGTTTTGAAAAAAAGCCCCTTGTATAACAAAAAATTTTATTCAATCGGAAGGATAGTTATCGTAACTGCTAAATTCGTCTCCTTCGACTTATGGCGTTTATTTGCCCCTTGTCATTTTTTTGAGTGTTTGATACAATACATCATAAAATGAAAGTGTAAGACTTTATTCAAAAGGAGAAAAGATATCAATAATCAGTCGACGACAACACCATGGTCATAAGAAATAAGATTGTTACAGAGTAGTCAGTGAACCCTTCGACTGAATATCATATCACTTGCAAGAGGCATGACTCCTGTAAAAGAATCAATACACGCGGTCTTGTCAGTCATTCTTTGATTATTTCCAAATTCGTCTTAGATATTGCCGATGTTAAAGCATCTTACAAAGTTCTTAATTTCACTTTAAGATATAGTGATGATGTTCTGTCACTAAATGCCCACATTTAATGAGTGCTTACATTTCATAATGATGTACTTCATATCTTGATATTTTGCTCTATACACAAAAAGACAGCTTTACACTAGAATTCATGACAAACGTGATGATATTAACTTTCCAATTGTCGACTTCTCATTTTTCAACAGTAACATAACCTCTGCTTTATCGCATAGCGGATACATATCTCAGTAAGTACGTTATGCTCGTGCATGTTCACACTATACTGACTTCATTGACAAAGGTGTGCTCCTTACATAAAAACTGCTCCGACAAAGTTAGGAGGAAGAACGACAGAAATCGATACTACACATGAGTTTTACTGTCACCATTACACATTGGGTGATCGATAACATGTTTCGGTGTCTCAACTCACAATCGACATGTTTTAAGAGGACTTAGTTATTAATGTTTAAGGAATGGTTGTCTGATCTGAAATGTTACCGATTGTAACTTTTTAACTTAGTGTAATTCGAATGTCGGGTGATGCGTGTATGCAGGACACGCTTACCCAGTTCACGCACCAAGTCTCGCTCTTTTCGGAGTCCATACAATTCACCCAGTTTCTGTTTGTTACCTTTAATGACTCATTCTGATCGCCTGAATCAAACCTAATATATAAAAATAGGAAGATGTGATATGATTTCCAGTGAGACAAATCTTCACCCATATTGAGTTTTAATATAATTTTCATAACTTTTTTACAATATTCAAACCACGTTGATTTTCCAATTAGTCTAAGATACTATTGATATACAAAAAGTCATTAAAGATAAAAGGTTTATATAAATGTGTACGATAGAACCAAAGATTCATGAGTTACGCTCGAAAGAAAAAAGTTAAAATGCCAAAAAAGTACGAATTGAAGAGCATTGACGACCCTAAATTCCAAAAAGGTTTTACCAAATACAGCTAAGGTAATATATTCCAGGGGTAGAAAAAAACACCTTTGACTTGAATTTTCTAAATCTTCAATTTGAAACATTGGTGCGAAAGCACGTTACATTTTGATTTTATATATTTTATATATATTTTCGAAACTGCAAGAAACTAATCACCAATGATTTTTAACTCATGATGCATACAATATCGTTTAATGTTTACGAGAAATCTTGGAAAGAAAGCGCTGTCTATGTTTGTTGTATTTTATTGTACAAATCTAAGGGATATAAGTCCCGAAAAAATATTGATAGTTCGGAATATTGTTGATTTCTACATTTGACTTTAATTGCATCACACTTCTACGAAAAATGCTAGCATGATTGGCTTACAATGTTATTTTCGATTTTATTTAACCTTTAAAGGGAAAACGAATCGATTGGACCTGATTTTTTACTCGTCCGTGATAAGGCTGATGTAGAATTTTGACACCAATTGTATAAAAATCCGATAAGAAATTGTAGGTGAGAAAGCGCTTACAATGTCAGACGGGAATAAACATAGTAAGTCCAAATATACGCTTCGCGGTGGTGGACAAAAATATGAACAGACGATCAACATTCTCAGATATACTACATATTTCGCAACTCGAACCCCACCAAAAACTGGCTTTGCACTCAGGTACTAAGAATCATTTAAACAGGTGTGGTGTGGTATGGTAAAATGATAACAAGAATGCCACTAGGCAATGAAAAATATATCCTTTTTTTTGTATTTTCTGGGAAAAGTACTTTCTATAAGGTGTGATAGGCAATAATTTAAAGAACAAATCATGTAACGACGGACTGCATAATTTGAAATATCAAAAGTCCTCATAAAATCAGAATAATAAGCTGAATTTCTGCAATGTTAAAATTTTGCCATGAATTGTTTTATCATTGTTTAATGAGATGTTAAAAACATATTGAATGATAGGGTTTTTGCCATGCACGACTAATAAAGAATGAAACGGACCGATAAGCATGTATGAATTTCATTTAAAGTTAGTGTGATTGATATAAAACACTTTGTTTACCTTTTTAAACCAAAAACTCTTCCAATTAATGATATATCAAAACACATTACGAAATAGGTTTCTGTAGCACAGAGAAAAAACATATTGATATACAGCAGAATGTATAAATGAGCTGTCAAACGAAATTTCTGACGTCAGCGAATAATATCCAATATGTAGGTATATGATGCAAAATGCAAACGACTGCTACCATCAATCCTGAGAAAAGAAAAGCAGAAATTATTTAGAATATTTGATTATATCCTTTATTTAAAGTCACATCTTTTAATATGATTAACAATAGACTAACAAATATTAAACTAAAAAAGCATAAACAAAAACAAGACATAAAAGAAAACAAACAAACTCACATTTTTTGGTATTCTCGGAAGGCATTTTTAAAAAATAAAACAGTATTTCTATGAGTTTTATTCAAAATATCTTGATTAGTAATAAGTTTTCATAATACATTTTTATATTTAATATAGATTTAGAATATCACTTTTGTAAGAAGAACAACAAAGGATGTACTTGACTACGACGTGATTTAAGAATTTGATTGTACAGAATTACTTACGAAAAGACGTTGAAACTGTTTAGCAACAAATTCATTAGAGAATTTAAAAAAAATACATGTACAATTGGTAGTTTGATGGTTAACAGAGAATTTTGTTCTTCTGTTCAATGATTGTTATCTCATTTTCTATTTTTTAATTGGGGTTCCCCAACCTACTTTTCCATTGTTTTTTTATTGTTTCTAGTTGTTTTCTCTTGATCTTGTTTGTAGCTGTGTCTGATAGCCCTTCTGCAATTGTGCATTACATGTTGCTGCATTATGGTGTCTCACACTGAAATTATAAGCCATTATAATGCAGTGATCTTCACCTTCTGAATTGTTCCTCCATTTACTTTCTTTAAATAAAATTGAGAATGGAAATGGGGAATATGTCAAAAAGACAACAACCCGTCCAAAGAGCAGACAACAGCCGAAGGTCACCAATGGGTCTTCAACGCAGCGAGAAAATCCCGCACCTGGAGGTGGTCCTCAGCTGGCCCCTAGATAAAATTATGTACTTGTTCAGTGAAAACGGACGTCACACTAAACTAAGGATACATTAATATCATATGTTTATCTTAACTCGATTATTTGTTATTTGCCTTCAAAGGACTACTAAATTGATTGCTATTTGCATGATTTGCTCATGTATCAATAAATTGCACTTCGTTGTCGTCTATTTCGTCTATTCCACATTACTGTTCCTATTCATGGAGCTGATATTCATTCCATTTAGCAGAGACATTGTTTAATATTCTACAGCAAAAAAGAATGATGTCTCAGCTTTATGATAAAAATAGTGGTGTCATTGTTTTTGTTACAGCAAGAGGAGAAACATACATACCGAAACACACAAACTTTTGCTTTATATATTGCTGTCCTCATCTAATTTGAAATCTATTTTTTTGTCTCTTCTGTGTAAAGCTGTATTTTCGTGTTGAAACCAAGCCATATTTCCCTGTCAAAAAATACAATTTGTTTTGTTACATGTGAATTGTATTTGTACTGTTTAAAGTGATCAATGAATGAAAGTAAATTTGATACAATCATATAACTCCACCCTTTCAGTACGAAACTGAACATCTACAAGAGTAACATTTTTGACAATTTTCGTGAATTTGATAAATACGGATACATACATACTAAAAACCTAGATTTACATAACGATTATCAATGATCAATACAAAATGGTAGCTACATCTTTCAATTTGATACACAAACACTTCGAAAATATAGTTCTCGTCAAATGTGTTCGAAACTGAATATTCCAGATACGAAGTGTAAAAAGTTGAAGAGGAATATAACCCACAACAAACAAGAACATATATTCATACGACACAATGCTCCGCTCGTATTATGACATTTCCTTGTTAAGTGGTCTCACAATCTTGGTCAAAAGCCTAATTTTGCATATATTCTTATCATATTGGACATGTAGATTTAGTTTTAATTTATGTGAACCACAACTGTACGGTAAACTAACTTAAACAAAATCTAGTCAGATACGGAACGGACGGACGGACATATCGCAAAACATTATATACTTAGTATCTTATGCGGGGCGTAATGAGTTACAAAAACAATTGAGTAATTCTCCTGAATTTGTTGGATAAACTTAAATATTTTAAATTTTGTATTCTGAAACGATTGATAAGAAATGCTTTGTTTGATACTAATTATTCCAAATATTTACTTACAGTTGACTGGATTCGCCTGTATTTCCTTAACTCTAAAAATTCTGCAGGACCATCATTTTCAATAGCAATATCCTCTTTAGACATGCCATTTGAGTGTGTGTCATGTTTGAGATACCATGACATATTACCCTACAATGTAAATTTTCTCGTTTGATATATAAATTGCACATTTGCTCTTCAATGTCAATACACTGTGTTTTAGAAAGCAATTACATTAACTTTCACTACAATATACACAATATAATAAACTAAGTTATCAACGTTTAATATTTTCATAATAATATCTGTCCCTCTCATTCCAAAAAAAACCAACAGAACATGTGATTATATTATGAATCCAAGTAAAACAAGAGGTTCACCTAGTTTTAATTGATGGATAAGTAGACTCTATATTTTGTCCTGTTTCGGTGAAGATTAAGGTCGCATCTCCTTAAGACAAGGTGGATACTAGACAGGTTTGGCTTATACGTTTAGATCCTTGGTTTTTGGTTATCGAGCGTATTAAATGTTTGACTTTCAAAACGTTATGTCTCTATGGTACCCGATTAAGGTGAATCCAGAATAAAGGAGAAATGCCACTTGTCGTTAGTTCATTTAGAATCCTGTTTTTACTTTAAAAATATACACTCTAAATTGGGCTATCGATTCGTGCTTTGGTAATTGTTAAAATCAACAAAATCGTATGGCGTTATTTTATTGTTTTTTAATCAGTCGTAGCATCATGCAAATATTTAGCATGAATATGTAATAGGTAATTGAGTTATTTATTTAAGGAATGACTGTAATATTTTTTCTGTCAATGAAGAAATAACATCAAAAATGTGGTGTATACTGAATAACCCGCGTAGCGTGTTATTTTAATGTGTCCACCACATTGTTTATGTTATTTCGAATAGACAGAAAAAATACCCCAGTCATTTCTTATAATGTAATTCCTAATTCCATTTTAAACCGGAGTAAATCATGAAAAAACGTTGATGACGTCAAGGTCACATGACAAAATTATGTCTATGAGCTGATAAACAAAACAACGTCAGCCAATCGGAAGACGCGTTACATCCAAAATTAAATTATTGAAGAATAGTGACAGTAGAGGGAGATCTTAATGTTAAAACGTATACAATGATAAACAAACTTTTTATTATATTGCCATACTCGCGTTAGCACTACTATGTATCAAACACTAATTCTTGAAAACAAAATGGGACACATCTGGAAAGTAAAATCGATAATCGTTAGCAAGCCCATTCTAATGTAAAACATTAAGGTTTTGATCAAGGAAATGGATTATCGGATACCATGTGCATATTTTTATAAACCAAGCTTCCTAGCCGCGAAGAAATAATTAAAAAAAAATCCTAACTTATGAGGTATAATAGTGAATTGAAAGATTGCATAAACCTCTAGGATATCCGGTTTAAGCAAAATCAAATTGTCACACAAGAAGTTTAAATGTGGCTACCTTTGTCAACGACAGAGATACAATAACATTAGGCGGAACGAATGTACTGCACCAGATGGGCATTCCATTAAAATGAAGCTCTACAGTGTTGATAGAAGTAAAATATATTTAAAATTTCAAATCTAGTTCAAACGCATTAAAGTACAAACCGCAGTTAAAAAAAAAGTTAAGCAAAGAAGCAACAACGAAAGTTAGTGATAAAATGATGCTTCATTAACTAAGACTTAGTTTACGATATACCTTATTGATATACTTGTATATATCAAGTCTTTTCTAATGCAAATGATTTTTCATCATTCCTATTTTTTTTCTCTACTTACAGTGGAGTTGATTCTTCTGTATTTACTTTGCTGTAAAAATTCTATTGGACCATCATCAACAACATCCTGTATTGTAAATTGATATAAATATAATTGGAATATCAAAAGCAAGACAAGATACAAAAAAGAAAGCACCTACACCAGAATATCAAACATTTGTTGGTACGTCTTAAAAAAGGGTACAACAACACCAAAACAATGATAAAAAAATATGGAACAAAAAATACAAAATTCAATAAATATTTCGATAACAAATATCCTTCATCAGTATGGCTAGCCTGTTGTTAAATGGCGTCACTAGCTATGATAATTTCTGACCATCACACAAATTAAAATTCCTGTAGCGACACCACTTTACATCAAAAGTAGATTTAACCATTCCAAGAATGGATATATTCATTGCTGAAAAATGAAACAGAAAGCACAATTCAAAATGATGCAACTCATGGAATGCAAATGCCCTGTTGTACTGTCTTTTTCTATGTCTATGAAAAAGAAATTAGTATTTCATTTATCTATCATACACTGAATATACACAAAGCTTGAATGTTCAAATTCTTGTTTAATGAAACTGAATGCAAAGTTAGGTCTTTATTTTTTTTTAGGTAAATAAAGGCAACATTAGTATACCGCTGTTCGAAACTCATAAATCGATAGAGATAAAAACAAATCCGGGTTACAAACAAAAACTGAGGGAAATATAAGAGGAGAACAACGACACAACAAAAACACAACATTCAAAATGTAACACACACAGAAACGAACTATATTATAACAATGGCCATTTTCCTGACTTGGTATAGGACATTTTAAGAAAACAAAATGGTGGGTTGAACCTGGTTTTGTGGCATGCCAAACCTCCCGCTTAAATGGCAACGTCAAACACAACACCAAAACGACAACATCACATGACAGGACCACAATACATATAAATGGGAGAACAAATAGGACAAAGAAAGACACGAATAATAGCTAACAAACGGTACTAGGCTTAAAATTCAATACGCCAGACGTGCGTCTCGTCCACACAAGATCATCCAGTGACGTTCAGATGAAAAAAGCTTGAAAGCCAAAACAAGTACAAAGCCGAAGAGCACCGAGGACCAAAACTTCCAAAAAGTTGCGCCTAACACGGCCAGGGTTTTCTGCCTGGGACAAGAACATCCTTATTATTTAGAATAATTTATAATTTTGCAAACAGTAAATTTTATAAAATGACTATATAATAGATATACATGATAAAACCGAAGTGGGGACTAACTACAGAATAAAAACGGATACATTACATAAAACAACTTAATCCAACATATAAAAATACACAGCCGAGTTAGCCAAAGCATCAACGCAAAAAGTGACGTCACATTTGAAATTCTAAAAAAAAAACACAAAGTGACGTCACATTTGAATTTGTAGAAATATTTCCCAAAAATAAGATAGGATTAGGATTGATTCAAGATTAGATTTGTAATACTGACATTACATTTATTAATAACAATGAAAATTACAATACTTATTAATATCAAATTGTGGTAGTAATTAGATAATTAATTGTATTATCTAGCTATGTCGGTGTTTCTTCTGAATCAAACTGTAAACCAAAATTATGTCTGTTTTTTTTTCAATTGTTATTGCAAAATAATTTATTCTTGTGAAAGTTTAATTAAATCCCAGGTATTCGAATAAGAGGATTTTCTGTAACAAGATGTCTACTTTCGTTTAAAATATAACAGAGTCCTTTTGTTTTGCGTTAGACCACAAAGACCGAATTCACCTTAAAAATCAGAAGGGAGCTGCAAAATGTAATTTGGTAATCTTAATTTTCTTTAAGAATAATTGAAATGCATTCATTGACTAAGGAGATGTATTGACTTACGGACGAGCGGATTACATGTCATAACTAAAACGATGCAGCCCCCTTCCCCCTTTGACACTCAACATATTCCTTGGGTGTTATGCTTTATATGTTCGGTGTAACTTTCCCTTAACCGTTTATTTAGTCTACCTATTAATACCTACTAAAGTATAATAAACCCTTGAGCATTACTTGGAACTTCACTATTAACTATTAACTATTGAAAAGTTGGGTAAATAAGACATACAGTTTGCAAATGTCAATAATGGTTTCTGTTCATTCTATTGATATGACATTACTATTTTTGTCATATCATCAGAATATAAAGAATCAATGTAATACAATAATGATTCATTTTTAAAAATTTAATCGAATGATAATATCAAAACAATAACAAATTTTTATAGGAGAAAATATTTTTTCTTTGATTAGTTTTAATAATTGTCAATAGATCCCGCCTTCTTATACTCAAATACTGGTTTCTGTACTTCTAAAAAGTATTTCTTACAAATAAAAATTCGTAAGGGTTCCGCGGAACCCAGTGTCTCGCCTACTTTTTCTGTTAATTGCAGGCTCAACAAAAATGAGGAAGTAAATCAATAAAAATATTCCACTTGATACTATCTTTTGATTGTAAGAAGCTTCTGTCCAAGTTTGGTAAAAATCAAGGATAGTTTATGAATCTAATAAATGTTTAAAAACTTTAACTGCAGACTGAATGTAATGTAAACTGGAAGAAAACAACATTTCCTTCTAGATACTAGCTTTTGATCATAAACAAGCTTCTGTCCAAGTTTGGTACAAATCCAAAATAGTATAAGAAAGTTATTTAAATTTTAAAAACTTTAACCACAGAGTTAATGTGTTGTTTCCTGGCAGAAAATCTAAGTCAAGTTAAAAGTAAAATACGGAAAAAATGGATTTATTTTTTTACAAAATTTCCTTCAAGATATTAGCTTTTGATCATAAACAAGCTTCTGTCCAAGTTTGGTACAAATCCAAAATAGTATAAGAAAGTTATTAAAATTTTAAAAACTTTAACCACAGAGTGAATGTGTTGTTTCCTAGCAGAAAATCTAAGTCAAGTTAAAAGTAAAATACGGAAAAAATGGATTTATTTTTTTACAAAATTTCCTTCTAGATACTAGCTTTTGATCATAAACAAGCTTCTGTCCAAGTTTGGTACAAATCCAAAATAGTATAAGAAAGTTATTTAAATTTTAAAAACTTTAACCACAGAGTGAATGTGATGTTTCCTGGCAGAAAATCAAAGTCCATTTAAAAGTAAAATAAGGAAAAATGGATTTATTTTTTTACAAAATTTACCTCTGGATACTATTTTATGATCATAAACAAGCTTCTGTCCAAGTTTGGTACAAACCCAGGATAGTTTAAGAAAGTTATTAAAATTTTAAAAACTTTAACCACAGAGTGAATGTAATATTTCCGGCAGAAAAACTAAGTCCAGTTATAAGTAAAATACAGAAAAAATGGAATTTTATTTTTACAAAATTTACCTCTGGATACTATCTTGTGATCATAAACAAGCTTCTATCCAAGTTTGGTAGAAATCCAGGATAGTTTAAGAAAGTTATTAAAATTTCAAAAACTTTAACCACAGAGTGAATATTTGTGGACGCCGCCGACGACAACGACGACGACGACGACGACGACGACGCCGACGGAATGTAGGATCGCTATGTCTCGCTTTTTCGACTAAAGTCGAAGGCTCGACAAAAAAGGATAAACAAATAGATTAATAAATACAAAAAACTTACGTCATCTGTATCGTCATCTTCAACAATTAATTCACCAGCATCTTCCTGCTTCATCATCTTGTCTTCTGTATCCATATCATCAAGCCATTTCAGTTCGTTTGAGGTAAAAATTCTTTCCATTCCTTTTCTTACGAAACATGTACCCAGTACCATAACAGGGAAAACAATAGATATAGTTTTTATAGCTTTTATGACCCATAGTATTCCCAAACATAATATTTGGAAAAATGTAAACAGATGAACTCGATTGATCCTCACATGGCGAAGATACATGTGGTCTGGTTGGTATTTTGCAGGCATAAACATTATCATGATACGGTCCATAAACTGTCAAAACATGTGTTTATAAATATATTAGTGTAACCTTACAAAATTCTATCACTTCACGTAACGCTTAAGAAGAGTAAGAAACCTTCAAGACAGAATAGTTAAGAAAAATAAATTATATATGAGAGAAAGAGAGAGCAGCAATCTGTGTACATTGGAAAAAATACCCCGCTTACACTATCACATTTCCATATTTAGTGAAGCATGCACTCTGGGTCCAAACCCTAATTTGGCATATATTTTTTAAATGTGCACATCAACAATAATCTACTAAATTTTAAGTTGATGTGACCATAAGAGCCTATTTAAATCTCTTAAACCAAAACATTAAGTAAAACAGGTCACTGTATATGGTTGACGATTTTAGTGAATTGATTCTCTGATATTTCTAAGCATTTTTAATGATGATATAGTATCACGTGTTTAATACTTTGTGTATTTTTTTTTGTAGGAAGATTTAATTATTTTTTTTTTATTCAATATGTAACATGGTATTCTTTTAAGTGCATACCTGCATTCCCCTTAGAGCAGATACTCCCATGTACAAAAATACACCATATAAAACCGGCATAGGTACAAGCTGAAACAGGAAGTCAATAATAGAATCAGCAAAAGTGATGCTTATATCACATGATAAAACCTCTTTCAATAAAATAATATTTGGGGTTTACTCATTCGTTTGTTTCAGATTTTAACTTTTACAAATTCCCCATATAACCCAAAAAAAAAATGATACTTAAGCGAACAAATTTCTTATTTAATGAACCTCTAAAGCAAAGGTAAACAAAAAGTAATACAGATTTTCCTTTCGAAGTTTGTGCAGTGTCATTAAATATAGATGACAATTTGTAATTTTTGAATTTGACCTCTACGGAACTAAACGAAAGTTGCTGAGCTAAAAAAGTCAAGTGCGAGACCAAACTGTTAAAGTCAGCTAAATCTTTGACACGTACATTTATGTACTGTTGTTCAAAAAGGGATTCAAGGGGCGTAGAATAAGACGCGTTGCGTTTCTATTGGAACTATTTTTTTTTATTTTACACCAATCAATTTCTGTTTTTTTCTTCTTAATGAAATAATAATTTATTGATATGATTTCAAAACATATACGAATTGAATTATTGTTTGTACAAGTCAAATACAACCCCCCCCAAAAATGTAGATACAAAGAAACTGATAAGAGAATTGAGAGATGTAATAACCTCATAAAAAAAAGCACATGATTATAAAAAATCTTAAATCAAATTCAATGCTGATATATTCAAAGGTTTGACACTTTTCAACAATCAATTGATGAAACGTACATTATTATTTAAATGAAACTTTTCTAAATAAGAGCGATTAAGGTTTCAACATAGAGCAAGGACCCTTGCCCCTGGTTTGAGACCTATGTTGATGTCAACTCATGTTAAGACGTGTTGTTTGGTTGCTCTTTTCTAAATAACATGCAATTCACTTGACAATTATCTTCAAACAAAATCAAATACAATTCAAACGTAATTCTATTACGTACCTGTAATATTTTAGGCATGAAAACTGAACATCCATTCAACAATGCGACGATCAGAGGAGTAAGACGCTGCTCCCTACAACAATTTCTATTTTTACAGAAATCAAGTTACTGTGTTTGTAATCGCTATATGCTATCAAGCACTGTGCAGCAATGGTACAAGGTAATTGATGAAATACAAGTTAACAACGCCAGTAATAAATTTGTTTTAAAAATTACCATAAGATACTTTTGATACTTGTTATGGAAGGGTCACTATCTATAGGGAATTTGATTTAGATGTTATCCGCATTAAGATGGTGTTTATTATGTAAAGCCTTTTAGTTTAGGTTCATTCTTGAGAAAATTCAGTATGCAACAATGCCAGTTTTGCTTTCGAAAATGGTTTGTAAGGAAATCATTAAATATTTTACCGAAATTTCTGGTTTTTATTCATATATACGGATGAAAACATACTTTTGGATGGCAAACTTATTTATGGTTAATTTTCATTCATCTATCTGTACACACCTACAACCAAGGAAGACTGGTTTCTCACCGGGTGCAGTACATTCAGATTCCATTTTAAGACTGTTAACATGTGCCATTGATCGGACTGTAGCAGCAACATACCAAGGAAGACCGAAAAACGAGCATACCACAATGCAGAACGTTGTTACTGTCAAATCTAAATGGTAACCACAACCTTTCTGCGTGAGATAAGTAAACGTTCAACTCTTGCCGTTAATGATTTGTGTAAATAAAAATCGATCTAGGACGGAACAAGAAATGAGATGTCAAATTGACAGCAAATCGTTTTTTTTTTTTTTTTTTTTTTTTTTTAAGGTAACCATTGTTGAACTTAAGCGGGCAGCTAGTACGAGTGAAGTTGATTCTTTCTCCTTTATGTCGCTCCCATGCTTATTTGACCTGCCATGTTCTTATGCTACTTTCCAATCTATCAAGAGTCATATGTCCTGAACATTAAAAGTGAAAATAGTCAATATCAAACTGGACCTCTATTCTGTCATTACTAACAACATTGATGGAACAGTTCATAAGTTATTTCACGGCAACGACATAAAGTTCAATTTTATAATCTAACAGGATCATCATGACTCCCGAACGGCAAAAGTGAAAATCAATGTCAAAATTGAACCCCATTCAGTCATGAATAACAACACATCAAAACGTGAAAATCTTTGAAAAGTTATTCCATGAAAACGACATAAAGTATCATTTTCCAATTTATCAAGGACAATAACTCTTAAACGGTAAGGATGAAAATCGTTTATTTCTAATTTGACCTCCATTTTGTCATCAGTGACAAAAGATTAAAACTGAAAAACAATGGTAGATCATTTCATAAGTTATTGCACGAAAACTGTTGGCAGTCACCCCCGCTCGCCATACCTTACAATGTTAATAACCAGATATTTCTTTTTTATGAAAGCCCGGTTATAAAATGTCTGTTTTGTTTGAAGTTTGTACTTTCTGAAGATAAACATAAGGCTTTTTGAAAAATTAGGAGAAAAAACCTAGCACACGACTATTCAGGCTACAAGTATCTAACATATCATATTATTTTATAAAATGTATTGTACATGTTGTAGGAGGGTTATTTCGACAACTTTTTACCACAAATCTCCGTTTATTGACATTCCAAACACAATCTGTAATAAACGATATCAGGTAAATTGGTATACTGAAGTATCATTTTGAATATATAGTAATACATCAAGAGCAGAAGTCATAAAAAGGGTCTTACAAGATAATCAAATAACTGTCATAAGTTTGAGACATTAGAACGTATGCTTTCATCTAATTGTATTCGGTTGGCGTTTCTCCAAATGAGTTCATTGAAACACAGGTAAATGTTTATATTAGAACACATCGTGTAAACCAGATGACATTGAACGAAAAATAAAAGACTGTCGAAGGCAACCGTTGTTGACGGCTCATTGTATGCCATTCAGTTTTATGCTCTCAAATTCTATTTATACTTTTGCCTTTCGGTAAAGATTATTTCAGAAACACGTGGTTTGCTCACAGAAATCGATAAAATGCATTGTTAAGTATGTTGGGGACAACCCTATGTTTTGATAATGTAGCCAAAAGTACTATTTTTAGATTCCATAAAACATTTTCACATATTAGTAATACATTATATGTTTTATAACCCTCAGTAAAATACATATAGAAAAGCTGGACGACAAGGAAATCTAACCTTGAGTTTGTTTTCCTTTCTGTTGATGATAACAGCTGTAATTTGTTGGTCCATGAAGATCAGGATTACAGCTACAACTGCTGGTAATACTGTAGCTATCATTGTCCACCAGGGATTGCCAGAACTATACGGACTTATAAACCATGGCCGTGTAGGGTCGGAGGGCTGAAATAAACATGATGGTTAAAATTATTATAGCACACTCTAATAGTTCCGACCGATAACGTAATCAAAGGTATTCGCTTTAAAGTTGAATTGAAGGGAGACAGAAAAAGACTGATTAAAAAAGTGTTTTTTTATCAAACAAGTTACAGAACTTAACTGTTTAACACTTTAATACTGAAGAAACGTCCGAAACAAACCTGAATTTTATCTGGAACTTGAAGCTTCGGAGTTGGAACTCCCAGCAGCGCATCAACTAGCACCATCAAACAAATTGCGATGAAGACTGCAAAGTCTCCTAGAGTCTGGCGTACCTATCAATTACAATATGATTGATATTAAATCGACATGGTGTGAACGTAATAGTGAATACCACATACATATTTTCTTATTAAAAATGTTCTGTTCTAAACCATAGAAAATATTTCGCAGAATGTTCTATTACAATATTTCATGATTTAAATGATTACATGTCATTGTCATTTCTTAGCAATATGGGTAAGGTTGAAGTTTTTATTTATGGATACAATATACTAATTTATATTGTTCAAAATTCAATTTAAAACCTGAATATAGATTACAATTCAGGAGTATAGTAATGAAGTAGAGAAAGTCATCCAGAATTGAATAGAGTCAAAACTTACTATTGTCGGGAAGAATGGACTTTTCTTCATTTTAACCAGTTCCCATGCAATTGTAAAAGTTCCAATACCAAGTATAATAGATAAAAAGAAAACATTGTCATGGTAAATTGGTGTTTCACAACCGGAACCTTCCAAGACGCCTCCTAGATCAACACAATCCTCCTTCTTTATACTATTCCAGTTGATAATTGAATTCATCGTTGAATTTAAATTTACATAAGAAGTTGGCACTGTTTTCACAGTTGTGATATTCTCTGTCTGATTATTAGGAACACAGGTGCATGAATAGTCTAATGGTATGTCTGGATGTGTGTTATAGAGATGTGTGCCAGCTATTGAGAATATTTTTTTAAACGATTCAACTATGAAAATGATGGCAATTAAGCAAGCAAAACTTTCTTCTGTAAATCTTGTTATATAACGCACAAATGCACTCAGATCAAAGGCAACAATTATCAGTAAAAATAAAGCTGCCCACAGACCTATCATGCATCTGAATGACAGAAAATCCCAATTGTAGTCTCTGCAAGTAAAACATTAGCGCTAAATATAACAATAAAAAAAACAGAAACAATTTTTTGTCATTAAGTACAATCATTTTAAATTTTCATAACAATTTCACCAAGACAAACAATCAGTATTCCAATGGGTACTTATTGTGCACCATTACCGGCCAACTTGTTGTTGTACGTTTAAAAGGCGGAATTCGTACAAGACCTCAAAGTCATAAAGAAAAGTATCTTGCCAAGTTCTTTTATTTTACTTTCAGATATATTCATTATGTCGCATCAATTCAAAACAACAGAATGTCTGCATCATTTCTGGATTTGTTTTCTTTCTAGTAACACAGGTTCTAAATTTTGAACTAGTACATAAGGACGAGACAATTTAAACTTTCCCATTGTGAACGCCCCATTTCTCACCCTATGTCCCATCTATCTAGTTTGATTCGGCATGACTGAAATCGACAATGTATAAGTGTTACGGCCAGTGTAACGAAAAAGTTCATCGTCACGAGGTGTTCGAGTCAAAATCACTCTAGACGCAAGAATTGATGTCTATTGTGAAGATTTTATCGATTACCCCCTTTTACCTTTCATAGCATTTATACTATGGATTTGCATGACGGGTAATTGATGCTAAGTAAGAGACGTACCTTGAGTTTATGCCTTTCCCTCATTTTTTCTTTCTTTAATTGTTTATTAAGAGTAGATTTTCTAGTTTTGAACATCGGTATTCTACTGTTGCTTTTTATTTTGGACACATAAGTTAATTATGGTATTTAGTGGTGTTAGTGTTACTGAACGGTTTTAATTTATGCTAAGGATCTATGTTTGTTTTTGGTCGACGTCTTGTCTATCCCACTTATATTTTAACAAAACTTTGCATCGAAAATTTCTGTATATATATATATATAGGCTTGTTTAATGCTATCGAACTGTGTGTTTCACATACCTACACATATCATAGATGATTATTTCCAGTACTAATACAGGACCAGTACTACCCATTATAATAAGTGGCTGTCCACCAAACAAAGCAAATGCTAAATTAACAAAAGCAACAGCTAAAAGACATTCCATTGTTCCCTGTAAATAAAACAAGATAGTGCAGTTTTTGTATGTTTATATTTTATTGTAATTTTCTTATGATACATGTTGTAAGGTACGTCAACAATATAAACATGACCTAAAAATTTCAAAAGAAAAATAAATGATTTTTATAGGTGTATGAATTTTATTTGTTTTTATTCTTGAAATCAGAGGTAGAGAAACGGATCTTTTATCTTTTGAATTATTTCCTGTAATGCTACACGTTTTTTTCAATTAATGCATAAAGCTTGAATTTTTGTTGAAATGCAAATAAACTAACTGACTATCTATACGATATATGTCGCATATGGTTTGTTTGATGTCTTTCCTATTTCATATGAAAGTTAATAATGCACAAGCTCTAGCTTTCAGTGTTGTCTGTTTTTCTGACGTAAATATACTTTAGAAACACTTGGTTGTTGTTCAAGATCGTATGTTAATCTCAAGATATATTTTGTTATTGTCTTGGATTGCTGTCTCATTGATGTATATCGTTTATTTATTAAAGCGTGGGGGCCTCAGTGGCCGAGTGGTCTAAGTAGTCAAACTACTGTATCACTAGCCTGTCAACACTCAGGTTGTGAGTTCGAATCCAGCACAGTGCAGGTGCACTCGACTCCTATCTTAATTGACTAGTATTGTCAGTTTTCCAACCGAAGATTGGGGGTTCCCTCCGGGCACTCCGGCTTCCTTCACCAATAAAAACTGACCGCCACGAAATAGCACAATAGTGTTGAAAGTGGCGTTAAACATCAATCAATCAATCAATCAATCAATATTAAAGCGTGTCTTTGTAACTTGTTTCTTATTACACTATATAATCTTTTAGTGTTTTTGCAGTTTTGAGTCAATGCCAAAGTCTTCCACTTTGAAAATTGCTAAGGGAAAACTCAACAAATAAAACAATATTCTTCAATATTGAGGTAGCACTACAGTCTAATGATGATTGTTTAGTGAAATTTGTTTTATCACATTATTTTAAAGTATTTATCCATCTGAACATTTTGTAAAATTCACAGAGTCATAATGATGTTACAACAGGGAGTAAATAAATAATTAAATTATGTAAATTAAAGCACATAGTAAATACTTTATATATAAGAGCATATGGGAGGAGCCAATCATTGAATCATCTATTGATACCAAGTGTCCAGCTGTTAATCTCTGACCACAAGAAAAATAATGTCGTCTTATCTTATTATGTTGCAATCAAACTTAATTTATATAATAATGGAGGTAAACAAAGAATATTTAAAAGAGCAAAAAATGTAGAGGGAATAAAATCTAAAGTGAAGATAGATAAATTTGAAAGAGTAGTTTAAACAAAGCCTCTTGCACACGTTCTTACTAAGGCAAAGGGATTTGTACCTGAATCAGACCCCAGCAACAATCCTTATTCTAGACAAATCACCAGGATAAAAGTTTTTTTTTATAACTTGTACTAAAAGAACTATCTGTCTATTTAGTACAGGACAGTAGGTAGAATGAAAATATCTTTTATTGCAAAGTTTTAAAGTTTCTAGTTAATTTCACAGTACCATATTTTTCTTTTTAAATATGAATAATAATTTTTCTTTCATAGTGAGAATGATGTTAAATATTGATTATATGCAGCTAGTCACTCTTATATTCTCTTATCTTAAACTGACTGGACAGGGGAGGAGCTTTGACCATATTTGAATACTACATTACAGATGTTGGACAAATCTGTGACGTCAAACTCCCATCAAATGCTATATTAGTGTTGTTAAGGGATGCAAAAATCATGCAAAATTTAGTTTCAGTGTTCAAAAGACACAAACTGTGTGGTTCTATTGATAAAACAAATGGTGTCAGAACACTCCTGGGGTGTTCCCAGAGGAATGTTTATATTTATAGGGGTTCAAAGGGGGATATTCAGTTTTGAGGTGATTTTTCCAAACAGTTTTTCATGGGAGTTGTCATCAAAAAATAAAAATAGAATCTTCATAGGTGCCCCCATTGTTTTGGCTTTGATATATCTGATTAAAGGGCGTATTTTCTACAATACTGTGTCCCAGTTTTTGGATAATTTATTTCTGAATGAATTTATAGGTCTCCAAAGATGAAAGGTGACATGAGGTTTGGTACCCAGCAGTTAAATCAAAATATCTTCTAATTGGAGGCAAATATCAAAAATCTGAGACCCAGTTTTGTAGCTTGTGCATGGTCAGTTAAAGGGATGAAAACAAATTTTTACTACCATTAGACCCGAATGTGCTATTTTCATCTAAGTTGGGAGAGAACTTTTTTGGCAGTTAATGAGATATATTTTTTAATTGATAATACCAAAAATAACTTTATCTATAGATTAAGAAAGAGTAATATTTCAACTTTAAATGAGTTAGAGATTTTAAAAATCGATTGAGTAGTTTTGGAGAAATTAATCTTTAAAGACTGTTGGTTTGAGTCAGAAATGTCAGACTGTAGTGTTACCGTAAACCATTACATTGTAGAATTCAGGTTACTATTACTCTTATCAAACTGCTTGGAAAAAAATAGACATGACCTAAAAGGACTTTCTGTATTTACTATATGCAAATCAAAAGAACTCTTCATTGTTATACAAAATTATAAGCCTGGTATCTTTTATAAGTTTTTTTATAATATTTGGTGCGTCCGAAACACATTTCTGGATTTAATTTTTTTTTTTTTAAATTTGGAAGTCAAGGATGCATAAAAAGTTAAATATTTCAAAAGCCATTTGACCAAAAGAACCTAAAAATATAGTCAAATCCACCTAAAATCTTCTTTGCATGAGTTGTTGCTTAATAAAAAATAAATTTTTCAACAGATTATTTTATAAAATTCTATGTTATGAACCGAAACAATAAATTATGAGCTGATGATACCATCGCGTAACAGCAGCGGTATTCAAAATGAAAATAACATGCCTCCGATTCGCTTTTCTGGTTCATCCTCACCAGGAAAGAAATTGAAATAACGATAAGTTATCAAAAATATTTTATAATAACCAGAACTTTAGTAAATTGATTAATGTATTGGTAGATAAAGAATATATGTACATGCAGGCAAATAGAAAATTGATTGGTACGAGCTTTAAAAACATGACGAAAAACGAGGCACGTCGAAAGTTTCTTCTTTTTCGTTGCAAGCACAAATACATTCTATATTTTCAAACAATTTGTTATGAACAACACATGTTGATTCTATCCTGCAAGTTTCGACATGGCTTAAACGCGAACCCTGAAGAGGACACCAAAATGAACTGTGACAAAAAAAGGTAATTGTAACATTTACTTATATTTGTATACATGTTATGTGTACAATAGTTTTCTAATTGCAGGGTATAGAACAGAAGTTGGTTTATGAAAGGCTGAAATTGGCCCTAAGATTTTAGTGTCTTTATATGAAGCCAACATACTACTAGAAATAGTTGTGATATTACTATTATTACAAAATAACTTCTTTTTGGCACCTCACATTATACAATACAAAGTAATGACCGCTTAGCATACTTAAGATGGGTTGTAACGTTAGTTATGGTCAAATTTTTCCATAATTTATAACAGTTTTAGCATAATTTACTTTGGCCGCCATCTTTGATACCGAAAAGATTTGTATTGAGAGATTCAATTTTAAAATTGGTACCATTTGGTTACAGAAAATGTTGGATCGTAGGTTGCAGCCAAGATTTTTCTGAAAGCTTTAATGTCCGACAAATGAACAAAATCGTCATATGTTACAATATCTCTCAAATGTGCTGATTTTGGAGCCTATAATGTTCTATTGTGAACAGATTTGTTTGACCTGACATTAAGCGCCTTTGAAAAATGTATCATTTAAGAACCAAATGGAAGACTTTTTCCTATTTTATGATAAAGTTGAAATTCAAAGCCATATTTTGCCAAAGTGAACCTTGTTCTTTAAAATCAAGTAGATACTTTCTGTATTATTTTCTTTTCCCTTAAACTCACCATATGCTGATCTGTTTCCTGACCAAGTAAAGCTCCAAATGTAATGTTTGGTGTCAGTGTAGCTAGATACATGAAGAGTATAGCACCAATACACTGAATGTGTAAACCATCCTTAAAGTCACTGATGTAAAAAGGAATTTTTCGTTTTACATCTTTAATAAGACCTCCAAATAATCTACAAAAATGGCATCTTTAAGAAGATCTCCAAATAATCTACAAAAATTGCATCTTGAATTAGACATTCAAATAGTCTACACAAATGATAAAGTTATTGTAAATGTTCGTCTTAGGAATAACACAAATGTTATATAATAGTTGATCAAAATTATAGGAAAAACTACCTCAAAAACTGATTAAAACGCAGTTGTTATGAAGAAAGTTCAAATATTTTAGAGGCAGTTAAACGTTTTCTTGGTGTTATCCAAGACAGTGTCTTTCCATTCTTCAGATCATACTAATTCAAAGGTCATCTTGATTTGGTAAATAAATATGCTTTTGTGATATAAGCCACTGCAATAATAACAAGCATTCTGAGAGTATTGCATTGCAATTCATAGTCCCCTACCGGCTAAAAATTTATTGTACTGAAACAATATGCTAACTTGATCTATAACATGTCATGGTGTAAACTATATAACAAATATCAAGTCAATATCTTCAAGCATGATGACAAAAAGTGTGAAAAACTGATTATTTAAGTGAATTTTATAAGTCCAAGGACCATAACTCTTCACAAAATCATCAGACCGGAACAAAATTCAAACTTGATCTGTAACTTGTCATGATAAAACTATATACCAATTATCAAATCAATATCTTCAAGCATGATGACAAAAACTGTGGAAATTTGATTATTCAAGTGCATTTTGTAAGTCCAAGGACCATAACTTTGCACAAAATCATCAGACCGGAACAAAATTCGAACTTGGTCTGTAACTTGTCATGATAAAACTTTACACCAATTATCAAATCAATATCTTTAAGCATGATGACAAAAACTGTGGAAAAATGATTATTCAAGTGAATTTTGTAAGTCCAAGGACCATAACTCTGCACAAAATCATCAGACCGGAACAAAATTCAAACTTGATCTGTAACTTGTCATGATAAAACTATATACCAATTATCAAATCAAAATCTTCAAGCATGATGACAAAAACTGTGGAAATTTGATTATTCAAGTGAATTTTGTAAATCCAAGGACCATAACTCTGCACAAAATCATCAGACCGAAACAAAATTCAAACTTGATCTGTAACTTGTCATGATAAAACTATATACCAATTATCAAATCAATATCTTCAAGCATGATGACAAAAGCTGTGGAAATTTGATTATTCAAGTGAATTTTGTGAGTCCAAGGACCATAATTTTGCACAAAATCATCAGACCGGAACAAAATTCAAACTTGGTCTGTAACTTGTCATGATAAAACTTTACACCATTTATCAAATCAATATCTTCAGGACCATAACTCTGCACAAAATCATCAGACCGGAACAAAATTCAAACTTGATCTCTAACTTGTCATGATAAAACAATGTACCAATTATTAAATCAATATCTTCAAGCATGATGACAAAAAGTGCGGAAAACTGAATATTTGAGTGAATTTTCTAAGTCCAAGGACCATAACTCTGCACAAAATTATCAGACCGGAACAAAATTCGAACTTGATCTGTAACGTGTCATGATAAAACAATATACCAAATATCAAATCAATATCTTCAAGCACGAAGAATAAAAGTGTGGACAACTGATTTGCCGGACTGAAGGTTTGGACAGACACACAGACAGACAGACAGAAACATAAAGTCCCCTTCGACGTTGGTAGGGGACTAAAAACTACGAATCAATCGTTCATTATATACATCTTTCTATATACCTTCCCGTTCGGACTAATGTAACATCCTCTTCATCGTCATTCTCTTCAGAAGCCAAGTCAGACTTTTGTGATACCAGTTTTCGTCTTTCCTGTATAATTGAGGATAAGACTAGAATATTTTAAACTGTTCACCGACAAATCGTATTTTATTGTCATTTTTTTTTTCTATTTGATGATAAAGCAAAAATAAACTATGATTTAGTTTATTCTATAACATATACAAGTTTGAACATATTTTAAATGTTTTAGGCCTCGAGCATCACTGAAGATACATTAATAGTCGAAATGCGCATATGGTGCAGTAAAATCAGTACCGTTAATGTTATAATATCTGAAAGTCTGATTAATAATTGATTTTTTTCGATTTATAAAATACTGTATCAAAATTGTCATTTGAAAAATTCGTAAAATCACTACAAGGAAAGCCGTCCTATTACTTCTTATCTTGATACTAAAAGATTAATGAACATGATAAATCAAATATATAAATTCCCTTTTTGATTTCAAAAGGTGTCTTAATTTACTGTAGTCATTCCCATTACTGAGAAACATAAAAGAAATTTATGTTTTCCATATAAGAATTTCAGTTTAGGAGAAGAGATCAGAACAAAAATAATTTAAAAAAAAAAGAAAAAATGTCTGCCTTTGTCTGTGATTTTGCTGAGTTTTAGTGATTTGATAAGAATTTTGTTTTAATATGGCAACAATGAGCTCCACAAACCTGAGAAGGTGCTGTAGTAGGTGGTTCTAAGCGGACATCAGGATCCCATTGGCCTGGAGGCAGAACTGTAAGTTGGTCCAAATATTCATCAAATCCATGCATAATATCTTCCCGTGATTTTGCTTTGTATGCAACTTCGCTGAAAATCTGTAAATCTTTTAACTCTAGATTTTGCCGTACACAATCGAATGCAGTCACGCATTGATTTTTAAATATCGTTCGAAAGTTTTATTAAACAAGGTTATTGTCTATAAATACATAAATAATCAGGTAAAAATCCAGATGAATATGTTAATCACAGAAGGCAACGATTATCAACGAATTACAGGCTCCTGACTTAAGAAAGGCTCATACAGAATATGGTGGTGTTAAACACAACGCACTCATAACCTGGCAAAGTTGTATAATAGCACATCATAAAAACACACTAAACATCACTTAGGAAGGAATTTATCATATCGATACGAAGCACAAAACAACTAACAAAAACAACTAAAGACACAAATAACCGAACTGAGAGTACTCGCAGTTACTGACAGCTAGTTCAAAGCCAATATTCACAAATAAGAAATTATGTATCCAAGACATAATAGATATAAAAATAAGATGTGGTATGATTGCCAGTAAGACAACTCTCCACAAGAGACCAAGTGACACAGAAATTAACAATTATAGGTCACCGTACGGCCTGATATCCAGTGGTTGTCGATGGTTTCTGAATGCCATGATTACTTTGAAATTATTGTCTTAACATTAATCAGGTCGTTAGTTTTCTCTTTTGAATTATTTCCCATTTTGTCTTGCTGAAGCCGTTTAAGGCTTACTATACGGTATATGTTTTGGCCACTGTTGAAGGACATACGGGGACTTGTAGTTGTATCCTTTGGTCGCTTCGCCGTTGAATAGTTGTCTCATTTTCAATCGTGTCATATTTCCTTTTTATATGTCTTGAATAACTTATCAAAATTCAGTAATACGTGACTAAGAGCGCATCACATCTGTGTCTGCAATTAAAACTCAAAGCACTCCAGGTACACTCAAGGTTAGGAGTCAAATGCAAAAAAATACAGTTAGGCATTATTAATTTTAAACCTAATTGGCTTTACAGATATTTTGGTTTTCGATTTGTGTAAAGGAGAAAATGAACAACTCACCTCATCGACCATCATATTTGAAATTGCTCTTCCTATTTCAAATATATAGCTGGGAACAGATGGAGGCGTAAGGTGAAGGAAAATGAACCTGGTAGGTAAAGCCACTTCCGATAAATCACCAATAAATCTGGGTTTAGCCAATCGAATAAAAACTGTGACTGGTTTTTTCAGGTCTTCCAATTCACCAACCCATACATTGGCAACTTCTGCACCTTCGGGGATCTTTTTGGCAAAAGGTGTATTGGGCTGCAATTTTGTTTATGTCTTTATTAATTTAACAGTATGAATATATCACAAAGTACTTGATTTCTTATTTAAAAAATGAAATAAATGGTTGGAATGATTTAATTTTGAAGTAAGGTAGGCAGTATTTTTAAATCATAAATGTTATATCGCTAACTCGTCACCTCCAAGGTCCAATATGTTAATAACTATGTGTCAATTTAATGTAAACAACTTTTTTCATAGTGATAATCGATCGCTGTAATTTATATTCGACTGCTGATATATCTATAGGATTGTTTGTGGATTTTTGGATTACCTCTGCTTCATTTATTCACTTCTTACGACTTGATATCTAGGTCTAGCTATTTGTGTGGACGCCTGCTAAATTTGACAACAATATGATGATCTTTAGAGTTCCTGTATTTGGTATCTTATGATTTTGTCATATTTATGGCAGACTCTCATTATATTTCATACTAAGTATCAATGCATGCTACAGGTAGGATCTGTGTAGAAATCATTGACAATTTAGAATTTTCCTTTTTTGTGCAATTACAAAATAAAAGAGGGAAAATAAATTAAATATTCATCAGAAAGATTAACGAAAAATATACTTTGACAACACTAAAAGATGTTCAGCAAGATGACATAATTTCACATAAAGCTGTGTCTAAAGCGCGTAATTAAACTCATCATAGATACCAGGATTAAATTTTTTGTACGCCAGACGCGCGTTTCGTCTACATAAGACTCATCAGTGACGCTCGAATCAAAAAAGTTGAAAGGGCCAAATAAAGTACGAAGTTGAGGGACTCACATTCCGTAATTTTTAATAAAAAGGTTGAGAAATTGACCAATACGACTGGCACCAACAAATAGTTCACCAAAATTAAGCCCCAATTTTTTTCATAAATGCGTCACACTTATTTTATGAAGCAAAACTCGTATAGAAACTTCTTTATGACAAAAAAGAGAATGCATCTTGCAAACTTCTTCAATTTCACATTAAGATATATTCAGGATTTCATTTCACTTAATAACTCACATTTCAGTGAGTGCTTGAATCTCGTATATCACAATATATAACTTGAGATTAAGGATACATTTACTACCGAATCTAGAAGGTGTGTATCATATATTCATCTTTTCATGGCTATTGACACAGATGGACGACTAACAGCTAGAGTCAATGACAAACGTGGTGATTTCAATTTTGCAATTGTCAACTTTCATTTCTCAGCAGTAACATAGCCTCTATCCAATCGTATGGGGTTTACATAAATCAATCAATACGTTACGCTCGTGCACTATACAGCCTCATTAACAGGTGCTTGCTTCTTACACAAACACTGATTCAACAGATTTATGAGGAAGAACGAATAATATTGACACTACATAGTTTTACGGTCACTATCACGAATTAGTCTACTGATATGATGTGTCTTTGTTTCAACTCATTAGCGAAATGTTTTCAAGTCTTAGATGTTTAGATACCAGAATAGTCGTATGATCTGTAAATTTACCGATTGTGAAATTTTGACTGAGTGTAGATTTCATTGCGGGTGATACAAGCATAGGAGGAGACGCTTACCTGTCAACGCAACCCGTCTCTCTCCTTATGGATTTCTTGCAATTCTATCAGTTTTGGTTTGTTACCTTAATTTATATTTCGTAATCGATTTATGAGATTTGAAAATCGATAAACTAGTTTTGCCTTAATTTATCAACAAATGATAGTTGTACAGATATTTCGATTCTAAGAGTACTTAATAAAGTAGGACACACTGTTGTTTGTTATGATAATCTAAAATCTAAAAACGTGTCATTATCTATTAAACATTGATTTAAGATTTTTCTAAATCTTTTTTGATATGAATATTTACGGCTGTTTATTATGTTTCTTAATATCAGGGATTTATCAGCTGTCCATACTTATTTGTTGATAACTATGAAGAGAGTTAAAGATTAGAGGCTATGCATACATTTTAAGTGACTTAAACTATATAAATAAAATTAACTATCATATAACACCAAGGGTATCGCTAAAACAATTAGCAAGGCATTGGTACTTTTAAAACCACGAAATTCCAAAACACAATCAGGTGAATGCTAATAATAATAATAAATAACCTGTAACTTTGATCTCCAATGTTTTTTTTTTAAGTTAAAAACGCGAGAAAGAAGACATAGATACTCTTTCCGAATGGATTAAGGCTGTGAGGTCATTGTTACAAATCAGAATTAAGAAACTGAATGGGTCTATGAATACCCACGCTATATCAATCTTTAAAGACCCGAATGTTGCAAAACACTTGTCCTAACTCCATGACAAATATGTTGTTGTCCCCGCAGATAAAGCCCCAAACAACATCGTTTTTGTGTGTAAATCACATTACATAAACTGCTTGATAAATGAATTAGGTATTGACAATTCACTTGGAAACTCAACATATACCCCCACTACACTTACCAAAGAGATATCCCTTATAAGCATAGGTCTGTTATATGCTCCTTCAAAATTTCAACCAAAGGTGAAGATCTTTAATCACTTTATTGGATGCCTAAACTACATAAGTGTCCTTACAAACAATAGTTTATTGCTGGGTATTCCAAGTGCTCAACGAAACCTCTTTCTAAATTATTAACATCAATTTTATCAGCAATGAAAGCCGGGCTTCAAAGTTATTGTGAAACTACCTATTCTAGAATGGCATGAATCAGATGTGGATACTGAAAAATTCCAAAGACCTTTTTGAGTACATACAATCTAAAACTCTTTCATCTTGCAATAGTATTAAAACATTTGATTTTTGTACACTGTACACAAGTATTCCCCATTCCAAACTAAAAGACAAATTGAAAGAGTTGGTCCTGCTTTGTTTTATAAATAAGAATGGCCAACATAGATACAAGTATCTTGTCTTAGGGAGAGATAAATCCTACTTTGTTAAAAATAACTCTGATTCAAACAAACAATTCTCTGAAACTGACATTATCAAGATGCTTGATTTCTTGATTGACATTCATCGGCATTCCCATAGGTACCAACTATGCCCGACTTGTTCCTTTATTCATATGAGGCTGACTTCATACAGGACCTTCTTAGGAAGAAAGAAAAGAAGTTAGCAGTATCCTTTAACTTCACTTTCCGCTATATAGAGGATGTTCGCTCACTAAATAATTCAAAATTTGGTGAATATGTTGAACGCATCTATCCCATTGAACTTGAGATAAAGGATACAACAGATACAGTTAAGTCTGCCTCATATATTGACTGACATCTAGAAATTAACAATGAGGGTCGGTTGAAAACAAAGCTTTACGACAAAAGAGATTATTTCAGCTTCCCAATTGTGAACTTTCCATTTCTATGTAGAAACATTCCAGCAGCGCCTGCATACGGAGTATATATCTCCCAGTTGATACGATATCCCAGGGCTTGTATTTCCTATTATGATTTCCTTGATAGAGGGTTGCTGCTCACAAGGAAGCTTTTAAACCAAGAGTTCCAAGTGGTTAAGTTGAAATCATCCCTTCCTGAATTTTACGGACGCCATCACGGTTGACGGTTATGGAATATCCGTTTCACAAATGATAGCGGATATGTTCCAAATGTCGTAACTACAATCCCGTCCCTTTTCCCCGATTGTGACCTACCAATTTAGACTAATTACCGGTTTGTACTAACATGAGCAACATGACGGGTGTCACATGTGGATCAGGATCTGCTTACCCTTCCGGAGCACCTGGGATCACCCCCAGTTTTTGTTGGGGTTCGTGTTGATCATTCTTTATTTTATGTTGTGTTTTGTGTATTATTGTTTGTCTGTTGGTCTTTTTCTTTTTTATCCATGGTGTTGTCAGTTTGTTTTCGATTTATGAATGTCCCTTTGATATCTTTCCCCGTCCCTCTTTAGTTACAATTTAGACATAGACAAATTTGGTGCATTTCATTCTGTCCAGCAGGAATTCTTGATCCGTCGAGTCACCAGAGTTAAAAAGAAAAAGAACCTGACATCCGTTACATTATCAATAGCATGCATGGTAAAAAGTATGACATCAGTAAAGGAAAATAAAACAAAATCATCTTAAAATAAAATGCTCCCCACTGCGCAGCTAGATACGACCGCAGATGTCGAACCCTGAACAGTTGGGGCAAGTATGGACACAACATTCAAGCTTGATACAGCCATGAATTTGGCTTGTGATTTAATATTTGACACAGCATAGGTTTCTGACACAGAATGAATGTGGTCTAAAACCTTAACATTTGATACCTATTATGGTCCAATATCCAAAATCCAAATACATGGTTAGATTCAGCATATAAAAGAACCCCAAGAATTCAATTTTTGATGAGACAAACAAAAAGTTTTAATTTTGGACCCTTTGAACCCCGATTTGAACCAATTTGAAAACAGGGCCCAAAATCATAAATCTTAATACACGTTTATTTTCAGCATATCAAAGAACTCCAAGAATTAAATTTTTGTTAAAATCAAACAAAGTTTAATTTTGGACCTTGATGTGGACCAATTTGAAAACGGGATAAAAAAATTAAAAATCTAAATACACGGTTAGATTCGGCATATAAAAAAACTCCAATAATTCAAGACTTTGAATTTAACTCCATCGGTCCCTTATTCCTAAACAGTTAAGACAATAACCCCCAAAATCAATCCCAACATTCTTTTGGTGGTATGGAACTTTGTGGTACAATTTCATAAAGATCCATCCACTTATACTCAAGTTATTGTCTGGAAACCAAATGTCTTCGGACGACGACGATATTGCCATACCATTATACGGCAGCTAAAATGTTGCGGTCGTTTAAAAACTTATTAAAGGTTGAAAAACAGTCGTTTATCAAGGGAGGACAAATGGACATACAAATGACCAGAAGATTCTTTCCCTAATACTGATTTTAGGAGATAATAAAAATATGAAATTGTTACTTCTATCTGAAAAATGTATATACAAAAACTTACTTTGACTAGAGGAGACGAATCTTGAAAATCACTATTTGACACATCATTGCAATCTTCTTTATGTCGAAGTCTTATTCCAGCAAATTCTGCATGACTTGTGGCTAGAAACATAAAATTAAAAATATAATCTTCTATCAAAAATGTTTTTAAAAGGACATAAATACATTTCAATTGAAAGTATCTTATCATTCTTGATTGTTGAACAATTGTTAGTTCATCTGCATGTGCAGATATTGGGTACGAGTTCAGTTAAGTACTGTAGACCACATTATTTACAATAAGGATCATTAGTTATAGTATTATGATGTCAGACCGCACCACTCATGTTCACTGAATATATTCATCGGAAAAGTTAAAAAACAAAAGGACCCCATAAGTTATGAAAGTCAAATTCATAGATTTTTTTTTAATCATAAACACTTCAAAAGGGGCCTTCACAGAAAAGTCAAACCCATCTTTCCGTCTTAAGGACTTACGCCCTGTGTCTCAGCTCATGAGAGATATGTTTGTTCGGTCTTGGATCTAAAAATACAAGAATAGTCGTCTGATTATGCAAATTTAGCAAAATTTCATTCAATTCACTCAGTTTTTTTCATCTTATTTTTATATAATTAAAAACAGATGTGCGAGTTTTGTACATCGTAATACAACTGATGCATCTAACTTTATTTCTCGCTGAGTAAAGTATAGCAAATTAGAATTCTTGAAGCTTTAAGATTTATCATTCTGACTCATCTTTTCAGACATTATTCACCTCATATCGTATAATGATCCCTTTTTGTCCAATAGATTCAAAATTTATGAAAATATATTAATGTCAACAAACAAAGAGCTGCAACGAGGGGGCACGGGGATAAGTTGCAAATGGTTCTTATTGATTTCCTTTATTTTCAATAAATTTATAAATTCTTAACTATTTTATTCGTCCCATATCATACACTCAGTTCTTTTGTATATCCGTTTGGTGACACTGATAGGTGATTAGAAATCAGTAATAATAATTATAACTGGAATCATCCTTACCACACCCATCTTCAAATAGACTGTCCTTATGCTAATTAAAACGTAAGCTCCGCCCGATTAGTTGAAAAAAAACAAACATTGGTAATGAGAATGTAATAGTTTTAAAATTGTCTTCTCCCCCACAACAACTAAAATGCATTGGGAATAAAAAGAAGAAATAGAGTATATCATAACATTATAGAAAAACGACATGCATATTTTGCAACTGCCGTGGTCATAGTTATACTTTCATATCCACAATTTCCAAAATGTGACAATTTTTACATGTATAAAACTCCGTTTTACAAGAAAATCAACGGCTGTGTCTCACTATTTCCTTTTCGAATACACATGTAGTGTTTACATATTTTAATCGGAACAATGACTATAACTGGACACTTCATTGATGAGTGTATCCCAAAACACCTGTCTATAGATTGACTGGTCTATGATAAGCGAACCGGTTAAACCCCGCCCAGTCAAGTGAAATAACATGATAAATCAAATAATACAGTTGTAGTGTTTTCAAATTGTGTTACATTTCGCCTTTTATATATTTATTGAGTTTTTATCCTAACGTTCCTGTTTTTTTTTATATAATCTTAACATGTCTATCAAACTAGCTCTTCGATTACAACATTGTAAGTTCGTTTCATAACACATTTAGTAATACACAGATTGTTTTTAATTATGATTTTAAAATTGCATTTGCCAGGACCTTTTTTGAAGTCAAATGCTATAACTGATTTTCACTTACTCTTTGGCATCTTGCATTGTGTTATGATATTGGACTTCATCTTCTTATCTCTGTATTTACGTTTTTGATGATGCTCGTGGCGTGATAATAACGTTGATCTTATCTTTTGTTTCATGTTATTCGTAATGGTTTTCATCTTTGACAGTTCTTCAGATATCAGATCTGTAAACATTGAAAGAAATATTTATATGCAAAATATGATAATACCTGATATATCGGACAGCCGTATTGTTTTTTGATTAAAAGTGTACAGTACATATGTTGTTAGTTGTTCCCCTAGATTTCGTGTTTTAGAAATTCAACGAAATGAGTAACGTAAAATCGCAATACGATCCCACATTATCAAATTGAAAATAAAATAAGCTGAAAATCGTCGTTTACTTAAAAAAATTCCAACAAGCCATAAGAATTTTAACAGTTATAACCCATTAGCTGTTATCATAAATGTCTGTTAGAAATCAAATAATATGTAGGAATGGACTGCCTTTTCACTATTCATGTTTTACTGGTTCATCTGAAAAGGATGTGTCTTTATCTAAGATCCACTTACCAGCTAACTCTGGCAAACTTTTAACATCGGCCTCAAGTAGTATTGCTCCTGTTGACATCTGTGTCTTTAACTCAAGAACATAATGTAATGTTACAGAGGCTACGTGTGGTTTCGACCAACGTTTCCCATTCTCTTCAACATCTTCTTCATATTTAACCCATCTAAAAAAAAAGTAATTCGTTTAAATATTTCAGGAAAATGCAGTATTTTTAAAACTTTAAAGTGTCGAGGTTTTAATTCCCATGAAGTGTAAGTTGGTGATAAGAGCAAATTAGGTGCTTGAAACAAAGCATTTCATGTACGTTTGTCACTGTTAAAATTTCTAATATAATATTTTAGCACTGTTGATTTTCCTAATTCACAAAAAGAGTTATCTTCGATGTCCTGCATACATCATGTCAATGAATTGCAGTTTATATTTCAAAAATACAAAAACAAGTTATCTCAATGCTCTGTATTAATCCTGTCAATGAATTCTGGTTTATATTTAAAAAATACGAACAAAAAGGCTTGTGTTGTAAATACAAATTTGAAACAACATAGCAAAACGTAAATCACATCCAGACACATCGAAGTAACATGTCATCTTCAACAATTATCAATCCGATACTAGTCATAATATATATCCAGCTCTAAAACTACTAAAATATAGACAAGTTGTGAATAATTTGAACAAAAGATCTAACATCAACAGAAAAAACGATTAAGTTACGACATCAAAAGACAAGGCATTGGACTTGGGACAAGCCCATACAAAATTTAATGGGGTCAAAGTAATTTCGTGAGTTTGCAGCCCTTATCCTTTTCCATTGATCAGCAGTATAATAAATAAAGCGTAAAACACAACATGATCTTAGGCCGACAAAATATAAATTCTTGAAAATAGCCTCAAATGTGTAATTATTAGTAACCAGAATATACTTGTTTTCAACATCACTGAAACAATTTCGTTATTTCTAGTCGAATTACCTTGCAGATTCCATCCATACGACCTCCTCATACTTCTTAGTCAATGTATCGCACTGACAAAAAACGACTGGTGTTTCCTCATCATTTTCAGTGATAAGATCTAGAACTAATCCTGTTATGTTTCGAATATCTGCAAGAACACCATAGATTTAACTCAATTACTTGACGAAAGTTGCATATAGAACTTTTAAAATACCTTAAAATCAAATATTAGAGGCCGTCTTTAGCCTGGTTGTGAGGACTGCTATTTCTAAGGGTTGGACAAATAGTTTCAAATGATACATCTGCCCACCCACTGCAAACAACCAACAATCAATCAATCAATCAATCAATTTGCTCATCGATGTTTACAAACTATTTTCTGCAGTTTTTCTCATAATAATTTTACAAAAACAACGTTTACCTGAATTAATTCGGTCCATATAAACGAAATGGCAGCAACCAAAGTAAGCATATCTTTCAAACAACGAAATAAACCATATATTGATCTCTAGATGTCTTTCTTTTTTTTATTGTCTTTGGGTTTCTGTCTTATAAATGTATACCCTATATCACATTTTTCTAAATTTCTCCATAGATGGCTGACATAAGATACTGTGAAAGCACTTTTATTCGTGGGTATCAATTTTCGTGATTTGAGCAAAAGTTACATGTTCGTGGGTTCTTTAATCGTGGATTTTTTTTATTTTTTTTTAAATCATGTGAAGAATTTGAAAACTGCAGAATCAAAAACGAATCTTCGTGAAATTAATAGTATGTTGTTTTATAATGATTTGTGCGATATTGCAAAATACGGTGTTCATTTTCCCTCACTTGTTCGTCTTATTAGTAAAAAACATTCATAACATGTTTAATAACATAATTGCTTTTGGAATTAAGCTGATTCATTTATGCTTACAAATTGTCTCGATTGAAGGAAAATGCAGAGTCAACATTTTAGTTTTTGCACACGTGTAATCAGAAGTGAAGATACTAATTAACTCCAGATCGAATGATCAACAGATTAACATTCATCAAAGGTGTTAATTGGACCATCAACATGTCACGAAACGGTAACATAAGAAAATGATACACGTGTACTTTAGATTCTAGAATTAATTTGTATGAAATAAAAAAGCAAGCCCAAGATAATTTTTTTTGTATGAGAATTATGAAAAAATAATATTAACACTTCATCATCGCATATCATCACCAGAAATCTGACTTTCATCATTAAAAACTTATTTTTCATAAGATTGTAAAGGTTAAAAGCCGCACAGTTTAGATTTTTAAATGATTAAATGGGTAAAATCCGGTCTTAAATTGTATTTATAGTTCATAGTGCGTTGGCTGATATTCGATGTATTCTCTAGATTACATGCCCGTATCCATGCAGTCAAACCCACATTGGGATCTTTCTATGTCTGGAATTGGACAACAGTTGTTTTATTCGTTAGACAAATAAATTCGTGGATAAAGCCATACACGAAAACCACGAAAATTGGTACCCCGTGATAAGAAATACTTTCACAGTAGGTGAAAAGAGACTTTGCATTATTGTAGTCACTTCATATGAAATTTGTTTTATATATACTGCATACGCTTGTAGATTTGTCTTCGTCAACCAAAAGAGGGGAAATGCTTACTTAGCATGAATTCTTATCTTAAAATACATGAGCGAATACATATGTTTAAGAAGATTAGCAATCATAGTTATGCAATATGTCGCTTTCGATATTTATAGTATTAAAAACTTTACACCTGTATAATGAATTCTTTTTGATTTCGCCGGACATAACCCTTAACCTGTTTTCATTGCTTTTTTGTGTTGACGTGAAATAGTAATGATAAGTTCGATTTTAGCAAACTTTCGGTTCACAAATTTTTGAATTATTCGAAACACTAAGGATTTTCTCTCCCCAGGCTTAGATGGCCTTAGCTGTAGTTGGTACAACTTTTTGGATGTGTTTATTCCAATAATCTTCTACTTCGTACTTGTTTTGGGCTTCCAGCTGTTTTGATTAAATTTCTATTTGAGTCGTTTGTAGACGAAACTCGCGTCTAGCGTTAGAAATTGAAAGTCTGGTTTCTTTGATGATTATTTAATATATCAATATTGTCTCTAGCTTATTGATAACTAAATAAAAAGAACTGTTGGGTGAAAGTCAACAAATTGTTTAATAAACGTCAGATAAACACATTAAAACATAACGAATATACTGGAGTACTTATCCAAATTCCAAATTTCATTCTTTAGTTTTATGCACCACGTGCTCTATTAGAAAATATTTTTCTCTTCAGTTTCTGCCGTAACGTTTTGAATAACTATATTCTTATAAAAGTATACATGTGTAGCTTTCAAACTGGTACTGTTGAATGTTATCGCAACAATTACAAATTATACTGTATACAACCTTGTAAACTATAATCACCGAAAAATGCAGGCGTTAAGGTCATTACCTATATATTACAAACTAGCATGAACCAACGTCCTTGCCATAAAAAAACTTTATATAATCAAAGGAAAGATATGATTAGACCAATGTGTCTTTATCAAATATGTTGATGTGAATGAAATATCGTTGTGGGGGGAAAGTCTGTTACTCATGATTAATTTCACCCAAATTTATATAAAAGAAGATGCTTTATTTCAATCAAATGGGCTCACAAGGAGCATAATATAATATCATGATACTATTATTTTTACAAATATAATGAACAATACAGTATACATGGTTACAAACACAAATAAGAAACAACAGTTTTCACATATTCGTATATATATAGGAGTATATATAAAAACCTTCGTCTCAGGCACACCTCTAGAAAGTAACAAAAAAAAATTCTGTGAGTAGGCTAAATATATCTAGCTTAACTGCAGGAGGCACCAAGGGACGGTGCTATATGGCATGGTGGGTGCATATTAAAATGTGTATCGGGACATTAACATGATTAATGATATGGAAAGATATTGTAAGAAGTTGCACATAACTGGTATGTCATCCTCGTGCCTGGTGCAGAGGAGTCAGTACTATTAAAAGTGACACAACTGCAAGAGGCACCAAGGGACAATGCTAATTGACATGCCAAAGAGCACATATTACGAAAAGATAAAATATTACCAGTTTAACCAAGAAATATCTTATTTATATTTTTATACAAAAAAAAATCCTTTTTTATCAGATACGTCTATGTTAACATGCTTATGATTGGTGACACAGTAACTTACAAATTGGCATTTCTCCACTAAAGCGATCAAACTATATCTTCTAATTCATTTATCAACATAATAAACTTGACTTTTGAAAGATAGAGGAAATCTACTTTTTGTGGTAATATCAGGGCCAATCATATCTCCACTTTTAAATAGAGCTCAATTTACTTTTTCATTAACATGAAAGAAACTTTAAAAGGCCTCTTCATTCGCAAACTTGTTTTCCAAACATGCTTCGTTTTCATTTTTTCTTTACAAAACTTTTAACATGAATAAAAGAGTTATTTTATTTTCTCAAAATCGAATACAGTTTTATGAATAGTTTCAGAGTGGTCAGGAAGTTAGTACTTGAAATAATAACTACAAAATGACGCTTGAGTGAGGTTTTAAAGGTTTTAAATTGTATTTTCATTTCTTTATTGGACAGATGTGAGATAACAGGTACTATAGTATTGAAAATAATTAATTGAAAGAAAATACATTATCGATGTTAATAATCGAGGAAAAATGGCATTATTATCGGTTTTCTGTAGTCTCATTCTGTTCCTGCTTTTAAAATATACTGATGATGGTAAATTCAGAAAAAGCGCTTCGGACGCATGAAACTTATTAAGTGTTGTTTCCATATTTTATACATTGCTTATTAAGTCAAAATATGTGCATTGCAATCCTTCTATTTGTACGTTCGTTCGGTCGTTAGTACTTTTTATCCACAGCCCCCCGTAGATGAGTGACTGGATATCAACGATACTTTCATATCTCAGCCACCTTGAAAACATTCAACTTACACTTTGAATTCCTTTTTAACTTTAGGTCCGAAAAGCTTTTGAGGTTTCCCCAAAATAAAACATATACTTTACATTTTAAACACACCATCATAAGTTGGGTGACCATAAGGTATATCTGTCACAGATGACCACGGATATGTTCCAATTGTCGTTACCACAACCCCGTCCATGTATCATCATTTGTGACGTCATCGACTTAGAACCATATTTGTTGGTTAATGAGCAACACAACAGGTGTCACATTCGGAGCAGGAACTGCTTACCCTTCGCGAGTACCTGAGTACACCCCTTTTTTATGGGGTTCGTATTGCTTAGTCTTTAGTTTCCTATGTAGTGTTTTGTGTTCCAAAGAATCTTCAGTTCTTTACGGGGTCGTGCATCTCTTATTTCATTCTTATGTCCTAGTAAGTTTTGGGGTTTCCGTAATAAAAACTCATCAAAGATACCAGGTTAGTAATATGATATTACAGATATATAAAACAGGGAGTTGTCATGACTTTAGAGATGATTGGAAGGGGCGGGGATATGTTTTTTTTTTCAATTTTTTTTCATTTTAAGAGCAGCTGAAGAAAATTCTAGAAACACTCAGTTCATACTATTTTGAAAGTATGAAAATGAAAAATTAAAAAAACATATAACTAAGAGGAAACGGATGTCTATTTTCTCTTTTTCTCTTTTACTTTTTAAGAAACAAAATGTTGCGACGGGATGGACTACAATACCGCTGATATTAAAGATGATAAAGAAGGTACATACGTTCTCTGTGACTTACAGCATCACCAGCAGTCGAACCATCAGACATTGATGAACATCGCATTTTGATGCTTATCTTTACTGTAAAGATTTTGTTCTAAAAACAAAAATTTACTTATGTAAGTAATTTTATTTTACAATCCCTAAAATTCTCAAGTTCTGGGGGTAAAAACATGCCTGAAACAAATTTTCTCTGGTTTATTATATTTTTTAAATAGAGTTCAACCTGTCATCTCACTTTTTAAACAAAAAAATCAATTGTCATGATTGTACAAAGATGTTAAGGAACTGCACAAGGCCTTCAAAAATTGTTCCCTGGAGGCTTGTAAATGAGCAGTATTTTGAAGATAACCATGATAACAGACAAATGTCATTTTCATTGTTCCTGAAATTATACTTATATGATTAGTAATAAAACGTGGCAATTTTTTTTAAATGTTTTTTTTTTTAATCTTAAATAAATACATTTGCATAGATTTTTATTTTTATTTTCAATAAATACATAGAATAATGCGAACTTAGAAGTGGATTGTATGAAAATGGGGGAACAGCTTTTTCAAACATTTCTAATAAAAGAAAGTATTCGATACATGATTATAATTTTTAATTGCACTTTGGTAGCTCTTTATCTTACTGGCTATCTCTTACAAGAAACAAAAACTTGCGGTTTCAAATTGAAAAACATTGTATTTTTTCCATCTCAAAGTAACTGACTACTTACCAAAACAAATTGGCTTACCTCAAATGATGACCACTAAACCATGCAAATAAATTATATAATTTCATTTAAATTAAATCCGGGGTTGTCACAAAAACGTATTAAATCCAATATAAACTAACATTCAGCAAAAATGCATATAGTACATTTATTTAAATAAGACGTAAAGTGCATCAAACCAAAGGATATGTTAATGTGTAAAACAGATAGAATTTCGAGGGAGATAATAAACATGTCAAGGTTAAGCATTACATGTACACATGCAGTACAATATTCTTAATATAAAAAATACAACAGAAAAGTGTCATAAACTACTGATATACATGTAACTCGACTTTTTATTTGCAGTTAATATTATTTCTAAGTATATGGAACTTATTAAACCCTTTAACAATCAACTTAGTGATGTCATACTCGTTAAATGGGCTAAATCTGGTATTGTAGCATGTACAGATTAAATAACATGCAAATGTACGTGTTTCGCGTCAAATGATGACAAGGTAACATAAAACGATTACAAGGTAAAAACTGTTGAAGTATTCATGTGCACAACATTCTAGTTTCTAAAATGAACTAATTACATTTTCTTAGAGACGTATACAAATATAAACTTTTACAAATAAAAAAAGATAATATAAGTACGATATGTTAGTTCGGAAAAGTTTTTCTGGTGTAAATTCATGTGCTAAAAATAACAGAAGGAGAAACTTACACTGTATCGGTATATATTCGTCAAGACGCTGAACGTATAAATTTGTCTGCATTCATTTCAAAATAAGATTTTTTTTCTCAGCATTTTCGTGTGTGAATGAAAACAAATGAATTGAGCATAACGTTAGTCCACAATTGCTAACTATTGTTGAATAAAATAAGGTCTGTGCATAATTTGAATTATTTAATAAATTCATAAATTGAACGCATCTTTATTTTTTTTAACAAATCTCTCCTGTGGTAGACGATCAGAAATATGTTCTATTCACTAAATTACATTGCTATCCATGATATTTTTACCATAAATAAATTTTGTGATGCTCTGACCATAGGAATCATGCAAACAATCTAATAGTATGTGAGGGTCTCAAAAAAAGAAAACGACCATAGGTAAAGGAGAAACCAAATAAGAAATCGTAATTCAGTATGACGCAGATAGTCTTAAATTTCTGAAATCAAATTCTCAACTTTGTCACTGCAAACATTTAAACAAAAAGTTTTCGTTTCGGGTCACCTTCGACCTTACGAGACCCTTATGCGTTGTAAAAGTCCTAAAACACCCCTTAGTAGTAGCATGCTGCTGTACTAAATATACAGGAATACTGATGTTCAGTACAAGTCTCACAAGTACAAGTATACCGCAGACAAAGTTGCGAATGACAATATTGAATTGAAGTAGAACAAGGTGCTTTGACAGGGTAAGCATCATCCGTTACATTTACGAGATCTTAAAAAACTGGTAAATGTTAGATTAACATAGTGGTTGACATATGAGATCCGTGACAAGATAAAAGATCATTTGTGCAACTATCAACAAATTAATTATGGCGACCGTAGATTTTTAAATGATAGGTCGTTTTTTATCATAGCTTTGTTTGATTAGTTTGAATTAAGAGCATACTTGTGTTAGTAAACTTGCCATAAAAAAACAAGTTCTGACATATCTTATAAACAGAGAAACGTAAACGACATCAGATTGGGAAGAGTGTATGCTATTTCTCAATAATAGAAAGTTGACAACAGGAAAACTGAAATCGTCGCCTTTGTTATATATCTTAACTTGCCCAGCAGCATTACTTTCAAGAAAAAAGGCAGCTCTTCTCTATATTGTTTTAACTAGCAACTTTAATAAAGAGATTTTTCATTTATGTTGGAAGGTTATATACCGATGCCATTTCAAATAAAGTTCAGGTGTATGTATATTATATAGGTAAATATGAATGAAAATTAAGACCGACAATAGATGGTCGAAACGGATGAAAACAGTCCAGAAGAGATACATTAACAACATTCTTCAACAACTGAAACCTTGCATACATGAAATCAAATCGACAACTGTCGTAATCTTACCTATGAGAATATGAATTTTATCGCAGTAAACATTTGACGCAATAACCGAAATAAATATATTCACCTGAGAAAATCAAACATATCTGGTATTTTCTAAAACTGACTTATTTATTCAGGCTAAAGTAATTTGTTTCAATGAAACAAAACAATATCAGTATTAAAGTGATGTATGTAGAGAATAAAGATTAGGGGACTGTTCCGCTGTTATTGTAATTCAATATCAGGAACTGAATACTTCGATATTCATTGAAATCCTATATTCTAAACAATGGGTGATTATTGCAAAATGTTTTTTATCGAGTATAATATAATTAAGAGCCATACATGTGTATTCATAAGCATCAGAGATAGAATGATATTTAAGCAAAAAGCCAGACAAAACAGTCTGAGCAAGTCCAAATTAAAAAATTGAATTACCTGAACATAGGTGATTATTGCAAAATATTTTCTATCGATTATAATATAATTGACAGCCATAAAATATTCCAGATTAGCATCAGACAAATAAGAAATAGTAAAGCCAAACAGCTAGACAATCCAGTCAGGGCTAGTCCAAAAAAAGACTTACCTGAACATTAGTACGTAATTTTCAATATGCGTATAGGTAATCCTGGCGTCGGCCACTATCAAGTTGTTAAAAGCCTACATATCAAAAATATGCAAAGTCAAATATATAATCTTTGAGGCACAGATAACAATCAATAAAAATAAACAAAGCATTTACCTTGTAGTCAAACGAAACCTTGAACAAATACCATTATCGTAAAGAAGGTCAAATATAAACTTATACTGGTTAATAGAACTTGCTATTACCATAAAACAGCTAAATTATAACAAAAGAATTTGAAAACTGGAACCAACAGAACTATGCACGATAAAACAAATTAAAAAAACCATAATGTGATAGAAACATAGGTAAGTAAGGGAAAATGAATCCGAACAGAGAAGACTGATATACAGATTTTATTGATATAAACATTCACAATAACCATCGTGTTTTTTTTTGTGCTTTTAAAGGGTAACAATATACTGCTACGCATTTGCACCCATCGTACAATTTACTAGATGGTCAAAATAACATCGGGGCTTGTTTGTATTTGGGTTGTACCTTATATTGTGTTTGTATACAGTATATTTGGAATACTAGTATATGTTTTACTTGACAGATAAATTCATTTATGCTTTTCAATTAATACATGTACGTATATAGATGTGTAAATAGATACCATACGGTACATTTCAATGACTGAAAATAAGTGATTTTCCCCCTTTTTCTAGTCCTTTCCAGTCTGGTTTTACTTAGAGAAAATATATAATATATTAACCTTAACCCGTCTTGCTGTTTTACTATGGGCATATTCCCAAGCCCTTAACTTTTCCCAATAGATTATTTAAAGTGGACTAGTAATCTTCCTTCAAAATGGGTTTTGTTGAATGTTGTCACTACTCCCATATTGACCATATATGGCTCGATTGTCGTTAAGGGGTCACAAAAGTATACAAGTATTTACACATTTATTTAAAAACCAGTTGTTGGCATGACACGGGTTATGTTCTTCTCATATATGTTATGATGGTATGATACTAAACCCCTAACGGGAAGGATTGTGCCTGATATTCATATGATGAAGACATAATCTTTCAATCAGTTTAATTGAAGTCTGGAGCTGGCATGTCAGTTAACTGCTAGTAGTCTGTTGTTATTTGTGTATTATTGTCATTTTGTTTATTTTCTTTGGTTACATCTTCTGACATCAAACTCGGACTTCTCTTGAACTGAATTTTAATGTGCGTATTGTTATGCGTTTACTTTTCTACATTGGCTAGAGGTATAGGGGGAGGGTTGAGATCTCATAAACATGTTTAACCCCGCCGCATTTTTGCGCCTGTCCCAAGTCAGGAGCCTCTAGCCTTTGTTAGTCTTGTATGGTTTTTTAATTTTAGTTTCTTGTGTACAATTTGGAGTTTAGTATGGCGTTCATTATCACTGAACTAGTATATATATTTGTTTAGGGGCCAGCTGAAGGACGCCTCCGGGTGCGGGAATTTCTCGCTGCATTGAAGACCTGTTGGTGACCTTCTGCTGTTGTCTGTTCTATGGTCGGGTTGTTGTCTCTTTGACACATTCCCCATTTCCATTCTCAATTTTAAGTATCAATGAAACTTATCTTTTTACAAACAATCTGTAAAGACCTGTAAGAAATCATTAGGTAATTTTCCTACTATTAGAAGCAATAATGGACAGCAAAATTAACCATTGTGTACTTTATTAGAATAGATTTAAAAGCATAAAATTGGTCAAACAAATAACAACCTAAGCGAGGCTGGATTGAGATAATGTACATCTTAAACAATAAACGTAGAAGTCGGTTGTCTCTCGTTTTTGTACGCATAATGGGGGAATTGCATACAATCAAAGATTTCAGTGTCAAAGAAGACATAATCAGGCACAATTCAAAGGAACTATTCTTTCACTATTGTTATCGTTTTTGGATGGTGATGTTCCTTTTGCACCATCTTACGGTGTTTATATATCACAACTCGTTCGGTTCGCTATGCCTGTGTCTGTAGTAACGTTTTGGATTTCAATGAAGGTAATCTATGTATTACCATTAAATTATTAAGTCAGGGATTTCGTTACCACAGATTACTTAAAACCTTTACTAAATTCGTCCATAGATACAAAGATTTGGTTTGGAAGTTGTAGAAAACTTGTTTCAAAGGGGATAGATAGCACATTCTTATTTTTACGGAGATGTTGTTTACCGAGCCCAAATGTAGATACGATCCGTGTTAACTGATCGATCCATTAAATAAACTTATTTTACGAGGTTACCAATTCAACACTGTAATTAGATCTTTGAATATGGTTTTTATTAGTATAAATATTGATTTTGTTATCAGTAAATTAAAACCGAACTAATATTATTGTTATATACATATGCACTTTCACGTTTCTACACTCCTGTATTTTGACATTGCACAAGGTCATGTTTTTCCCTGACTATTAACGACGTCTTTACACTAAATCCATTAGATGTTGGACGTGTACTGATTGATATTTTAGTCTTAGATACATGATTTTTGTATTAGATGTTAAACAAACATGTTTAACCCCGCCACATTCTATATGTGCCTGTCCTAAGTCAGGAACCTGTTATTTAGTGGTTGTCGTTTATTGCTGTTTCTCATATTTGTTATTCGTTTATTGTTTTGTACAGTTTGTTCTTGAGTTGTGCTGTTGTACCATTGTCCCAGATTAGGGGAGGGTTGACGACTTCAAACACGTTTAACCCCGCCACATTAAGTATGTGTTTTTCCCAAGTTAGGAGCCTGTAATTCAGAGATTGTCGTTTATTGCTGTACATCATATTTGTTTTCGTTCATAGTTTTGTACATAGATGAGGGCGTTAGTTTTCTTGTTTGAATTGTTTTACATTTGTCATTTCGTGGCCTTTTATAGCTGACTATAAGGTATGGTGCTTGTCATTGATGAAGACCGTACGGTGACCTATAATTGTTAATTTCTATGTCATTTTGGTCTCTGTTGAAGTGTTGTCTCACTTGCAATCATCCCACATCTTCTTAATTTTGTATTTGTTGACTAGATCGTGTCAAAATTCGGTCCATAGAATTTCTAAGCTGCAAAAATACTTTCATAGCGTATATGCACCAAATCTAGCGATGATAACCTGTCAAGATTCCTAATGCAAATGATTGATGGCGAAACCTGCTTGAACATTACAGTCAGTTCTTATATCAAAACTCCAGTTACAGACACATTTGGAAGTGAAAACTGTCTAAAATGCGTTGATATTCAAACGAAGTGATGCAAAATGCATCGACAGGGTAAGCACCTTTGACTATGCATGCATCACTCGTCTTGTTACTTCAAGGTCATATCAATCAGCAAGTGTTACGGCCAAGAACTTGTTAGATATACTATATTAAATATATGGTATCTTAACAAATAAACAGATCTCTACTGTATACGTTGAGACAGTGGGACGCTGTAACGATGAATAATCGGTTTGTTATGGTGATCTTAAAATATTTTAAGTAATGTCAGTAACTCTTCCTAATTATCACGAGTATACATACGCCATCACTGTATGTGTAATTAGAATATGCTGTATTATATCGAGTATAGACTGGAGGAGATGTTATATTATTATTCAAAACTAGAAAAACTAAAATCTTCACATTTGTCTTTATTTCTAGTAATCTAACAATATAGATTTATAGAAAAAAAATCTAGATATGAAGTGGTTCTTCTATTCTTTGTAGTTTTTTTTTTTATTTCAGGTTCACTGGGATTTATGCTGTGAGTAATCATTGAAATAAGGATTGTTGAGTTAACGGTAATCGTCAATATATCTGGAAGTGAAATCATTCATCTGTATTTTACAATGTTTTATCTTCATGGCTATTTGAATATTTTATTGACATTCTACTTCATTTGAGTAAGAGTCAACGTTAGTACAACTGTTCAAAACTCGTAAATCCATTTTCAATAAACAAATCAAGATTTTAACAAATCTGATGGAATCACATGAAGACCGGTACGTCGACATGATAAGTGACTCCTACTATGCATCGCCCGTCATTCGAATCAAACTCAATCAAACTGTATGGATAGTGGAAAATAATTAACACAAATATGGAACTCCAAGGTAAATTCAAAAAGGGGAAGTCCTTAAAAATTGACAAAATCAAACGTTAGACTTTATCAACCAACGGCACGAATGGAAAACAACTGACATAATCCTTACTTGGTACAGACACAGAGAAAAGGACGCGATCGGTAAATTTACAGATGTCCAGGGACAATTTAAATTGCAAAGATACAATGAGTAGCCATTCAGAACATCATTCCATTCCACCAAACAAAGCCAGTCAACAAGCGTGATTCCAATGAAATAGTTCCGAGTATTTTGACAATATTTGTATTTGCTCCTGCATGAAATAAATGTGGTTCTTTACTTTGCTCCTGCATGAAACCAATGTGGTTCTTTACTTTGCTACTGCATAAAATCAATGTGTTTCTTTACTTTTCTCCTGCATGAAATCAATGTGATTCTTTACTCTGCTCATGCATGGAATCAATGTGGTTCTTTACTCTGCCCCTGCATGAAATCAATGTAATTTTTTACTCTGTTCCTGCATGGAATCAATGTATTTCTTTACTCTGCTCCTGCATGGAATCAGTGTGGTTCTTAACTAAGTTCAGCATTTTGACAAGTTATAAAGCAATGTATTAGCTACTGTATTGAAACAGTGAGGTTGTTAATTATTATTTTTATTGACTATGACAATCTTCGTACCTCTATAAAAGGGGCAGGTCATTACAATTATAATTTTATAGATACAGGCCGTATCCAAGTATTTGCTTTAAAATACCAGAAATCCATTTCTAGAAGTAAGCAAGGTCCATAAGTTTTGGGAATCACACTGTCCCCACTCAAGACTGTTATTTACTTATATCTCATTTGGGGTTCTGTGTGTCTCTGTAAACTAGATATCTAATCACTGTTAAAAATATTATCTTTCCATTAAATACATGTGAATTTCTTGGTGTGAATAAAGACATCCGCTGAATTGAACAGGTGATTAACCGTCTTTCACTTTCTTGTTTGAACCAGCCAGGGATTGAAACCACAACCTACCGCCCTCGAAACCTTTCTCTGAATGTAAAATCTTATAGCTATCGAGAGAACTATTTAAATGATTTGGAAACTGTAAAATTTAACTTGACCTCTGGACAATATAGACGAAACAAATCAACTAAAATTAATACTTACTTAATCCCGCATCTCACAGTCTAGTTTAAACAAGTTTCCTTCATAAAATAGTCATTGAAGCTGAGGACGGAAGACTAGCGTTTTTTATATTGACTTAATTATATGTTCAACTAGTTGTATACATGTTAGTGTTATTTTATGTTATTATCTTAGTTTTATTGTGTGTCGCAAACTTTATTATAATCATGGCGTTTTAATGGCAATACAATATTGAATTGAATTGAATAAATCAGGAGAAGTAATTTAATATGATGTTTACAACTGAAGCGTCAGTGTGATCGGCATGATCCTCCCTGACTGAATGTGGCATGATTAATTATGTGATTGACAATATTAGTTTACCGTCGAGTGGTAAATGTTTCGTACATATTGAGGACGACATGATTAATTTTAAATAACCTTGCTTATGAGGTCTATATCATGAAATAATTATATTATACTGGTCAGGAGTGAAATATCCCGGCTATTCGCAATTTGATTACCTTGACAGAGTATATGAACCCATATACCCTGTGAACAAAAAAGAGGTTAAGAATGGTAAATAATGTTAAATCATGACACTCCAGTATATTATAATTGTTATTCGGGATTTATAGGGGATGTGAGCTCATATTCCCTGCCAGTGCCCTATGTCCCCTTCGCCTGACGGGTAAGGAGATATAAAATAATAACAAGGAATATGAGCCCATATCCCCAAGAATAATGTGTTCCGGATGATATATACATGAATTTTACTATTTTACATAAACTGCGCATGTGTGAATCATTTCATCAAAACAATGGATATCTAAATTAGCCAAATTTATCATTTCCCGGAGCGTAATAGCTTTCTTTTTACCAAAAAATCACTTTTTGCCTTAAATAGCACCACAATAATTCTGTTTGAACCGCCGTTCATACATGAATATGCTTATTCCGTCAACAGAGGGGATTAAAAAAGGAAGTCTTCCGTCGCTAATATATGTTATTGTAGGCCGCTATCACTGATCTGAGCAAATCTCCGCTGACAATATTCCGTATGTTTACAATTACAATGTTTTAGTTTTAATCTTAAAAAATAAACTGATCTAACTACAGATAGTATAAATAAAAATCAGTACCTGATATTTCAGCTCACAGCTGCTTCCATTCACAGCTACCAGGCCATAAGCCTAGCTTACGTATATCACATCAGGAGTGCTACAATCATATTTGATCACTAAGAAACAAAGATTTTTTATTGACGTCTTATGGAAGCAACATTATGTTACGTCCACTTTTATAGCATTAATTGGTTACATAGAACTCATTATTTTTATGCTCTTAGTAAATTCAAGATAGGAATAATTTTCATTTTATCCATTACAGCACCTGTTCAGGATTGCTTACTACTACACTTTTATCACCAAAACCGATGCTCAATATGTAAAAGGAGTGATGACAAAAAAAACAAAACATTTTCAACTGGAATAAAATAATATCTATCACTAAATATCATGCAACTAAATACTAGAATTTTCGGCTCAATATCTAAATGGATATTCATAAAATATTATCATTTAACATTTTGCTTGATTTACTCCTAGTTAAGGTGTCAATATTGGTCGAGATATCGGGCGAAGTTTTGAATACGGAAATTTTTTTTCGGAGTTTGGTCATTATTCGGAAGAGAACATTTCGAAAAGTTTACGACGATCAGCGGACGGCAATTGATGGCAATAGTTCATCCGTCTGAGCAAAATCGCTGCATTTGGTCTGTCAGACCATGCACTCGCTCTCGGAATTGCTGAATACCGGTTTAAGTCAAGGAAGATCTAACGAAAGAAAAAAAATAACAATTGATATAATTTATAAGATAGAAAATAAACCAAGGCAAAACCCGTCAATTACATTCAGTAGATCACATCACTGGGTTTGATAACTGGAGAGAATATTTTTAAAAAACATTTCTAAAGTTGTTTTTTTTTTGCAGTATATTTTGTTTCCAATATAATTACATTTTATACATTTATTACGAATGTATGTAAAACTAATCACATCCGTAAACTGAAAAATCTACGTTGTTAAAACAGAGTCCTTATATTGCATGGATAATATCCGGATTTTTTATTTATTAATTTATCAATTTTAATTTAAAATAAGAATAAGATAAGAATAAAAATAAGAATATTTACTGTTTCAATTAAGAGACCCTGATGGGCAGCATGACGTTTATACACACAAAACAATACACATTGATTTGTAACAAAAACCCTTTTTTTTTCCATTAATGAAAAATTGAATAATAAGAATATTATTTTTTTCTCACAAAAGATGGGACTGATAATTTTAATTAAAGGGGCATTAGCTGTCAAATTCATGCTCACCGATTTGACTCAAATTCTCATATTTGATTTATAGCATACTAAAACGTATATCCAAATAATAAAAAGTCTAAAATAAACAACTTACAATACATGGGCTCGATAACATGTATCAACATTGCGTGTGTATTTCAGTCTAGATGCCATCTAATTTATCATTGAGGTGACCTCCGAAGACTGCCGACGGTAATATAACCCGATATAAACATAAATATAGATATTAATCGATAGATAGCGAACTTGTGAAATGGGATTTTTCTAGGTCTGTTTGATTTCATATTATCGGTTAAAAATATATGTTAATCATCGTTTTTACCTGTATAAGAATGAGTTGGGTGTGGATCGAATCAGTCAATTAAATGGTTTACCCTTGTTTCACTTTCTATGTTGACATTCTTTTCCTTTTAATAACCGAACACGCCCTAATTCATGCGTAACCCATCTCTAGCCGAGGGCTTAAATTGAAGGTCACATGAATACGAATTCAATGAGGTCGAACTATTCACTTACAAGTGAATAATTCACCAGCGATATTTCTTACCTTATTTTGACAAAATTGAACCAAACTGGCTTCTAAAAGTGAATTATCATTATTTCACTTTCATTAATGATTGAACAAAAAAAATTATATTTTTAATTTTGTTTTCATATCTCGTAGCTAATGCCCCTTTAAGATACTACGCCAATATCATGTGTTTCTCAGCCTATAACGGACAAAAGTATTACATTCGTGTTTTAGTGCTATATATATTTTTGGACTTTAATAAATGTTCATATCGAGTCTCAATATCAGTGATACTATAAGAGGTACCTCGTTAGTTATTGCATTATTATTTTAACGCGGGAAGATGGTAAAAAGGAATACGTGCACGAAAGAAGAGACAATAAAAGTGTAATTTCACAAACTAAAAAATGATATTATTGCTTTAATAGTGCTCTCTGCCTTCTTTAACAAGTATCTTATCATGATATAATCTTCAATTTGTTGAAGCCGGTCACTATATTTGGTAGAAGTAGAATTAAACGTTAATTTTGTAGTTGTAACAGAAACGCACGTTGCAAGAAAATGACTTTTTGCCACCATCTGTACATGCTGTAATCAACAGCGAAAATGTGAACTTGTAAGTATTATTCATAATATAAGACATTTCAAAATTTGATGTACATGAACGAGATTTCAAAAACTATAATCTTACTTACATTTCTAGCACTGCCATTGTGTGTATCAATCGATCAAACAAATTTCTAAAAATAACAGAACTATGCAAGGTAAAGGTCTTCAACTACGTTTACAATAATATGATTATGGCAGAAACATTAAAAAAAATTAAACGTAAAAAAACACATATTACAACACATTCAATGTGACTAGACAAAGTCGATCATCCGTGGTACTTGATATCTTCAATGGAGCGCGATTGCATTTAAGTATATAGTATTACAATCATTTAAAAAATATGCATAGACATTCATATAAAAAAGAAGCAGGGGTTTATGAAATAAAATACGAATTGCTGCGAAAAAAGTTACAATTTGATAAAGGTTGTAGGCTAGCTGATAATTTGTGTTACCAGTTTTTACTTTCTAAATAATATCTCTTATGAATGTATGATCGGGGGAGGCGGGTCCGGTGGTTGGACCCCCCCCCCCCCCCATTTTTTTTACGATCAATGCTTTTGAATGGGGACATATGGTTGAACACCCCCCCCCCCCCCTTTATCCTGGGTTGGAACCCTGGATCCGCTCCTGGTGGTATTATTAAATGGAAAAGAAGCTATACAGTAATAATGTTGATTTTCTATATCAGTCAAGTTGCATGGTAAGCAAAATCGGTTTTGTCCAATATTTTATAGCGAGCGAATGCTCACATGTCTTAAGTTTACAAAAAGTTAATTTGAGCTGTCATCATCACCAGTAGGTTTTTCATCGAGTGTGTGGATATGGTCGTAAAATGAAAGTAGTTTCTTTTAATTTTCTTTCATCATACTATTTTGAATTTGAATTGCTTGGTCATAGATTCACTGTCAATATTTGTTAAATAGAATTTGATTGGAGCTTTAAAATAATTAGTAAAACCTAAAGAAGAAGAAGAAGAGAAGAAGTTTTTTTTTTTATTTTCATTAAATGGGCTCAAAAATAGCATATTACAATATGACATTGAAGTATACATACAAAGAAAACATGGAAAATAAAAACAAGATTGACATGAATGAACTACACACACATATAAATATATGGTGTACAAAAGTCTTTGCACCTTATGTTACCTTAGTTTATTGTTTTCTGTTTGGTATTAAATTCATAGTTAAGATCCATTTATTACGCCTGGTGATCCGTTTATTTGGCAATCGCCAATGGCAGTCAGCAGGGTTTAAGAACATTTGTTTTTCTATCTGTTAGTCAAATGCGTTTTGTTAAAATATACTTTTTCACTATTTTGGTCTTTTGGAAAATGTTGTTTGTGCTGTGTTTAGACCCCTCTAACAAGAAATTTGTTTTGCATGTACACGTACAAAAATTGCGGTTTTTTATCCAACGCAATCATAGGTTTGAACGTTGTTTTCAATTTAGACTTGTATATATTTATATATATATATATACGTTTACAAGTGTTATACCTCCTTCTCAGACACACCCCAACATGAAAAGTCCTTGGTAAATAAAGAATCGAACATGTGGTATGATTGCTGATACCCATTGCAGTCCAAGCGATTTTTGCTTGTTTAAGCAATCTGTAGCTATTCTTATCAATTTACTAATATTTCAATATTTTTGTAAATTCCAAAGTGTTATATTTTAGCTTTTTTATATGTACAAACTGAAGAAGTAGCAATAGGAACCAGAGACATAACATACATTATAATAGGTCTCTGATGGAAAAAATGAAAGTGAAAACAGTTGGAATCGCATGAAGAAAAAAATAGTCGACTGGGGTAATCACGCAATGCCTTATTTGTGTTCGCAAAGTGTGTCTTTAACATGAACATTTCAAAACTATCAAACTACCAAACGGACGATAATGGACATGTAGAATCTATAACACACAACTAAAAGCAATCCAAAATGGAGAAAAAGATATCGGAATCTCTAACATCCGGGGTATAGTTGAGGTCACTTGTTGCCTATTACTGTTAAAAATTCGAAAGGGGTTCCACGGAACCCTGTGTCTCGCCTGCGATTGCTGCTGTCAGTGTAAAAGTGTAATGTTGACTTAAATAAACTGTAAACACAGAGATATGTCTCGCCTATTTGTTATTTTGATAATGCAAATGTTGAAATTAAAATAGCAATACTTTAACATGTAAGTTATGCAAATATTAAAATTCAATGAACCATGACTAAAGGTACAGGGCTAAACAATCTCCATGGAAATGAGATGTGCCAATGCTTATACAACAGCAAACCAAATACAATTGACTTTTCATAAGTCGTTCCCTTTAAACAAATCTAAACACAAACATTAACTTGTAAACTATGTAAAAGTTTCAAAGTCAATGAACCATAATTAGGAGGTGGGGTTATATAATCTCCATGAAAATGAAACTTGCAAATGTCAATACATTTGCATACCATATACCATTGACTTACAGTAGAGGTTCATCTTAAACTGACCTAATCACAAACTAATACATGTAAACTAAGTAAAAGTTTCAAAGTCAATAGACCATGAGTGAGGGGTAAGGACCAAATATTCTCCATAGAAATGAGATGTGCTAATGCTTATACAACTGCATACCAATTTTCATTGACCTACCACTAACAGTTCCCCTTAAACTGACCTAATCACAAACAAATACATGAAAACTAAGCAAAAGTTTCAAAGTCAATAGACCATGAATGAGGGGGCGGGGCCAAATAATCTCCATGGAAATGAGATATGCCAATGATTATACAACTGCATACCAAATATCTTTGACCTACCACTAGTGGTTCCCCATAAACTGACCAAATCACAAACTAATACATGTAAACTAAGCAAAGTTTCAAAGTCAATAGACCTTGACTGAGGGGGTAGGGCCAAATAATCTCCATAATAATGAGATGTGCCAATGCTAATACAACTGCAGACCAAATATCACTGACCTACCGCTAGTGGTTCACCATGAACTGGACCTAATCACAATCTAATACATTGTTGACGCCGCCGCCGCCGTCGCCGACGCCGACGCCGGAAACAGCATACCTATGTATCGCTTTTTGACTCCGTCAAGGCGAGACAAAAATGAGTCCATTTATCAGTAAAATAGAGAATTTAAAAAAAAAATAAAACATTTTCTTTAGATGCTATTTCTTGGTCTTGAGAATTAGCTTCTGTCCAAGTTTCAGAACAATCAAATGTAGGTTTACAAATATATCATGTGAAAAAAATTTAATCACAGACTGTAAATGTAAACTGTAAAAAAACTAAGTCCATCTATCAGAAAAATACTAAAAATATATATTTTCAAAGGTTTGCTTCAGACATTATCTCTTTTAAAATCATTAAAAAGCTTCTGCCAAAGTTTCATAAAGCTCTATGAAGGTTTAACAAAGTAAATGATGTGTAACAAACTTTAACCCCAGACTGTATCTACTTGTTAACTGTAAAAAACACAAGTCCATTTATCAGTATAATATGGTAAAACAAAAATTAAATATTTTCAAAATTACTGAATACTGTCTTTTGGTCATAAACAAGCTTCTTTTCAAATTTGATAAAGTTCCATGCAAGTTTTTGATTTAAAAAAAAAACTTTAATAACAGACTGAACCTAAATGTTGACGCCGCCGACAACGAAATCTAGGATCGCTATGTCTCGCTTTCGCGAAATAAATTTCGCAGGTTCGAAAAAAATCGATAAACCGGTGCAAAAGATTTGGTAAATTTTAGTTGACAGAAATCCCCAGCACGGTTCCTCATGTCATGGATTGTTTGGTTGACAGAAATCACCAGAACGGTTCCTCATGTCCTGGATTGTTTGGTTGACAGAAATCCCCAGCACGGTTCCTCATGTCCTGGATTGTTTGGTTGACAGAAATCCCCAGCACGGGTCCTCATGTCCTGGATTGTTTGGTTGACAGAAATCCCCAACACGGTTCCTCATGTCCTGGATTGTTTGTTTGACAGAAATCCCCAACACGGTTCCTCATGTCCAGGATTGTTTGTTTTACAGAAATCCCCAACACGGTTCCTCATATCCTGGATTGTTTGGTTGACAGAAATCCCCAGCACGGGTCCTCATGTCCTGGATTGTTTGGTTGACAGAAATCCCCAGAACGGTTCCTCATGTCCTGGATTGTTTGGTTGACAGAAATCCCCAGCACGGTTCTTCATGTCCTGGATTGTTTGGTTGACAGAAATCCCCAGCACGGGTCCTCATGTCCTGGATTGTTTGTTTGACAGAAATCCCCAACACGGTTCCTCATGTCCTGGATAGTTTGTTTGACAGAAGTCCCCAACACGGTTCCTCATGTCCTGGATTGTTTGTTTGACAGAAATCCCCAGAACGGTTCCTCATATCCTGGATTGTTTGGTTGACAGAAATCCCCAGCACGGGTCCTCATGTCCTGGATTGTTTGGTTGACAGAAATCCCCAACACGGTTCCTCATGTCCTGGATTGTTTGGTTGACAGAAATCCCAAGCACGGGTCCTCATGTCCTGGATTGTTTGTTTGACAGAAATCCCCAACACGGTTCCTCATATCCTGGATTGTTTGGTTGACAGAAATCCCCAGCACGGGTCCTCATGTCCTGGATTGTTTGGTTGACAGAAATCCCCAGCACGGGTCCTCATGTCCTGGATTGTTTGGTTGACAGAAATCTCCAGCACGGGTCCTCATATCCTGGATTGTTTGTTTGACAGAAATCCCCAACACGGTTCCTCATATCCTGGATTGTTTGTTTGACAGAAATCCCCAACACGGTTCCTCATATCCTGGATTGTTTGGTTGACAGAAATCCCCAGCACGGGTCCTCATGTCCTGGATTGTTTGGTTGACAGAAATCCCAAGCACGGGTCCTCATGTCCTGGATTGTTTGGTTGACAGAAATCCCCAGCACGGGTCCTCATGTCCTGGATTGTTTGTTTGACAGAAATCCCCAACACGGTTCCTCATATCCTGGATTGTTTGGCTGACAGAAATCCCCAACACGGTTCCTCATGTCCTGGATTATTTGGTTGACAGAAATTTGTCTCACAAACGAAGAATGTTGTCAAACAAACATTTTTTTCTATATCAATTTTATATCTAACATGCGCACTCGTGTGATATTTGAGTAGTAGGTTGCAAAAGATAAAACGTACATTTTTAAGTAACTCTCTCATATCTTATAATCAATAACGGCAATGTAATAATGCAAACATAAAAGGTCTATTTTTGTATATATCTAAGTAAGGTCACTTTTTATCTTATATATAACAAAAACTAAAGATCATCCTTTCAAAAATCACAACACTTTAATATACAATAATATTCTTCTTGCATAATTAACTGCAGACCTCAACAAAGTCATATCAAGAAACAAACTGTTAACACAGAGATATGTCTCGCCTTTTTGTTATTTTGATAGTAAAATGCAAATGTTGAAATTAAAATAGCACTACTTTAACATGTAAGTTATGCAAAATATTCAAAGTCAATAAACCATGACTGAAGGTACAAGGCCAAACAATCTCCATGGAAATGAGATGTGCCAATGCTAATACATATGCATATCAAATATCATTGACTTACCACTAAAGGTTCCCCATAATCTGACCTAATCACAAACTAATTCATGTAAACTAAGCAAAGGTTCCAAATTCAATAGACCATGACTTAGTGGGTCGGGCCAAACAATCTCCAATGGGAATGAGATGTGCCAATGCTAATACATTTGCATACCAAATATCTATGACGCCGCCACCTGAAACAGCATCTTGCTTTTTGACTCCGTCAAGGCGGGACAAAAACTGTAAAATTTACAAAATTGCGTTAAACATTGAACTATCCGAATATCAATAAAAAATATAACGAATTTATAACACAATCGCTTCCAGGCTTCATATTGCATAAATTAAGTGCCAAAATAGCTTTACCCAACATCAAATTTTGCCAATCGATCACAGGCATTTGTCTCAGAAAAAAATTTCCTATATACCTCAATATAGTTATTTTATTTTATAGGATTTTTTTTGAAACAAGTGCTTGTGCAATCGATGTATTTGTGATTCAGGTATATCTCAACTCCGATCCATATGAGGATGACGGCACTATTTTTGCATTGTTTGCAATTTTGTTGTAAAAGTGTCTAGAATTCGAACTTAGTATGCTATGACATTATATGAATCGTGCCGGAATTCAAAGTCAAGAGTTATGCTGAATTGTGTTCAAGAATTTGAAACAAAAATTATTGATGGTGTTGTTATTTTTTTCTTCTATTTATTTTTCTAACCTCCTATATATCATACACAACAAACAATATGAATTAAATTAGTAAATAACTTTTATTCCCACCAAAAGCTTACGGAAAAACTTATGTATAATGACTTTATGAAATGCCAGTATTTGGGAGGTATGTACAACATTTCACCTGGTCTCAAAATTGCCTCAGAATATAATGCGTCATTGAATAATGGAAACTTTACTTCATCAGGGTTCTCTGCATCGACTTGACTTGTATTTTCAAGCAAAAACGTATCATGAGGGTATAACTTACTATTCTCTGTTGGTGAATAGATTCGTATATATTTAGAACCTACAACCTGCACAAGAAAATTATGTTTCGGGTCATGATGTAAAGGTGACACCGTTCCCTTAGGTCCAAACCAAGCATTGATATCAACATCTTCTGAGTTACCTAGGCAACAGTAGTCTGGTATTGAAATGTCGTTACGGAGTTCTGGTACTTGGTCGAACAGTTGATGTTGAGCAAGGTATCCAGTTTGATTCTGAGAACCCAATATAAATCTGTCAATAAAATCATTTATTGTCATTAACTTCTGTGTCCAATTGTCTTCTGTATATTTTGAACCAATTTCAATTGGAACAGTTCGGAACCCTGCTTTTAACCTTATATAATCTAACGACCATTGCCTTGTACTCATTGCTGGCCAGTGATTAATAGCATTTGTTATTATAACTGGAGTTCCTTCATCTTTAAAAGTAGCACTAAAATATTCAAGCGATGGACAATTAATTCGTTTTATTTCTTTATTTTTATCAATTTGGATTTTAATTTCCTCTTCTATCTCTTGATCTATTTCACTATCCGTTCTCAATTTTTTATTTAGTGACTGACCCACGTCATTCTGAACACTTTTATCGTTATCAATGCATTTGTTGGCAAGTTCTATTTTTCTATCACTGACGTCAATTTTCTCTAAACAAGTGTGTACATCTTGAACAAGTTTTGTTAAAACATTGTTCATGATTGGTGCTCCCATCAATAAACCCATGTCAAATGTTTTGATAGCATCTGCAATGCTATGAGTATTCCGCTCTACAGCTCTGCTATCAGTAGCCAATATAGCTTGGCTACTCCCTTTCATGGTTGATACCAAATAGTATGCTTCTCGCCATGTTATATCAACATCTTTCCAATTCCCAGTATTCAACTTTTCCCACAGATAATCTAACAATGGTTTGGATTTGTCAATACATTCACTATAATCCCCAGCATAAAAATTTTCACAACATGATTTTTGAAGATATAAATATGAAGACGGTAAATCGTCTATTAACTCTATGGAAACAGCTATACCGTTTGCCGTATCTGGTAGGTGCTTTAAAATTCGTATCTTTAGTTCATCCATATCTTTAAAAATAATCATATATCCTGAAATCAATAAACATTTTTTTTAAGGTGACAACAGGCGTATATTTATTATTATCGTATAAAATTTAGCATTCGTATATATTTAATTATTTTGTCCAAAACTAAACACGAAAGAGCGGTTAAGATCAACAAATGAAGCAGATAAATATAACATGACAAAAATGTAAATAAATTTTATTTACATTTTTTTCATGTAAAAATTAACCTTCAGAAACAAACTTTTGAAAATCAGTTCAGTAATAATGAAACCATTAACACAATGGTACAAAAACGTCATCGGTCAGGTTTCGTCGCAGTGTGCTTGCATGAGGGCTGCAGGTTTTTTGGTTAGACCCCGTTGGTTAAAACCAAAGACTTTAAAATTCAAAAATTACTATTTTTATGAAATAGAAGAATGATCATTTTCTATTCATGATAATCGATGGCTGTTCAACCTCCAGCGACAAAAATTACATGGATATCCAGAACGATAAGATATCAATATCATCAATGACAATGTGATATGAAGATATGCTCTGTACTAGACCATCCAATATTGATCATAATTAACGCTGCATGGTGTGAACGCAGATCATTGTATAATATTTGAATAATTAATTCTGCTCTCAAATACGATGAATTCATTCTATGAATAATATATTGATTGTATACACATAAAAAGTTTGGTTTATTACTGAAATTGTCCATTACAAAGCACACATTCCGGTTGTTTTACAAGAACCTGTCTGACGAAGAGTTTACCAGAAGATTGATTCATTGATCATGTTGATTGTAGGTTGCTTAACGTCAAGTGGCAAATATTTCATGTATGCTTTTTTTAGGACGAGAACAAATAAGCAATAAATACATTAAGTAGGTCCTGCAATAGAGTCCGTTTGGGATAAAGGTCGAGGGAATTTTTACTGCCACCGGAAAATTAGGGTATATTGGATATCATATGGACAGAAATTTTGCCTTGCAACACGCCACCTACGGACCCCCTCAAAGAGTTGTTTAAAGGGTTTTGAACGTGCGAAGCGTGGCACCCTTTTTACACGAGGCATCGGATTTAACATCCCCATTCTGAACGGACTTGGCTGCGAACTTGTACATGCCACACAGCCAAACGAACGCCCCACTTTGGCAAGGGTTTTACTGGCGATAGGTAGAATACCTAAGTGACAATAATCCTAGTCCCCAGTCACCACTGGTTGAGGGGGGTACTAGAAGAATAAGCACAATGGCAAAACACTGGTTGTTAGACCGTCACAGTAAAACCGAGAACAAAATTCGTGAATGGGACAACAGCACAAAGCCAAAGGCAGGTTGATAAATAACTAAGTCGTCCATGAAATAATCACAAACTATGTATTAAAAATGCTTCAAATCAGGTTAATTCATTTTACAAAATTTCGCTTACGTGTGAACTGATGTGAACTGCCTCGTTAGTAGTTAATCACTGAAAACTTTAATAATTTATATTTATTGGGAGAAGATTGACATGAGAGAAGGGAGATAATTATCAACATAATACACTAAATTGTAAACGGAACAAATGTCACTTTCCGGTTTCAGAACAAATAACAAAATAATTACCCAGAAAACGAACTCGAATAATTCTTCTTTATCATGAATCAAGACTATTATTGTCTCAATGAAATGCATAGGGGTTGGAGATTTACTGTACACACCAATGTAGTTCAAGTTGCTGGTTCAAATGTACTCTGCTATTCACCCAGAATTAGTAGCTTCAATTTAAAAATACAAATAAAACTACGTACATGTTCAAACTGCATGCTTTTTTTTCTTTGCATGTATACTAGATTGTTTTTATTTTGTTGTTGTTTAAAATAATGTCCTATATTGTAATATGCTCTTTGTGAGTCCATTTAAAGGAAATAAAATAAAAACATCTCATATTTACGTTTTTCTCATGATTCAAAAATTGATATCAAAATTGGCTACAACAAAAACATCATTTTTTTAGCAAATGCATATAAAAAGACTAACCTGTAGAAGAAGTAAATAAGCAGCCTGGTGAATCTCATTCAAAATTTGTACGATCACGGAAAATAATTGAATTACATTGGATTAAAAAGTTACAGACAGTCTATATATCCTATCGGTGTCTTAATGATAATATCATGGGAATTGGTAATATATCAAGAACCGATTATTTTAACATTTTGGATATAGTATCTTAAACTGTTCGTAAAAACCGTTCTCATGGGTGTAGAATAAATTGCAATCAGAGAAAATTTCGTACAAACAATACAAATATTTCGGACCTAATTACTATATATTTCAAAAAACAAGGGCAGACATTATCTGTTAACGGTGTCTTCCTCCTATTCCCACTTTTAAAAATCACTATTCCTCCTTAAAACACTGTTTATTTGTAATATGTTTTTTCTTATTCAAAGAATTACTTTAAAATAAAGAATAAGTCAGATAAATAGAAGTAAGATTAAAAAATCATTGAATTTGTAAACTTAAAAAAATTGTCATCTGAACAAATAAATTGATGATAGATAATATTATAACAAACTTTCCCATCTTGCAAGATTTGCATGTACAACAAACGCAAGAAGAACCTACCAGTTTTACCAAAAACTATTGATGAAATCAACATAGATGGTATGTGGGCACGTACTATGATCGAAGATGTGTGGTTTAATGTCCTAACCGACATAGATCAGATTGATACTAACATCAACTACACGCCCTTTACAGACTATGTAACAACATGCTGGGTCGAACAGAACAGTCACCTTTGGGACCATTACACAACATAGGGACCGAGGACTACACATAATCTAGAGGGATGGCACAGCAAGCTGAAGAAACATGTCCATTAAGCACCCACATCCAAAAATCTTTAAACTCATAAAACTACTGAATCATGAGGAAGCTTTCAACGCCCTGACCATGATCCAGTATGCAGCCGGTGGGAAGAGAGTGGCCCAAAAACGAAAGTATGTCGAAATCAACAACAGATTAAAAGAGCTTAAGGTTAGACACCGCAGCCAGGAAGTCACAACAGTACAGTTGGTTGATGCAGCCTCCCACCTTCTTCACGTTGAATAAATTAATAAACTTTAATAGACTTATATGCAGTGAATTTCTAATGTGTGTGCCATATGTTTTATTTGTTTTAGTGCTGTTAACTTAAAATGCTTGATTGAATCTACTGTTGAATTTGTGTTATAAATTCATACACATAAATAAATAACCTATTACCTACCAAAAAAACCACTTGTCAATTAAAAGTTGATTAACAATGTTTATACAGTATAATCCTTTGTTTGCACAAGTTTTACCCCTATTCCCACATGAAATTTTAACTTTTCTTACCAGGTTTATAAAAAGTGGGAATAGGAGGAATGAACCCTGTTAACCAAGCTCTGTTCTTTACCTGTTAATAAATTACATCAAATTTTGGAGGATTGCAACACAATTCCATATTGCAGTCCAAAGTATGAAATCGTCCAAATTATAATTGCATATTGTTATTCTAAACTGTTTTCCAAAATTGATCGCCCTGAAGATCATAAAAACATTTCATTCAAATCAAATATGTCAATAAAGGTTTTGATTTTGTAAATATTACCGGTATTCTAATGATCATTCCGTTAAAGAACAAATTCCTGGTTGTTTTAATAATACATACTGAGCTCCCTCTTATTTGTTATGTTTACATAAAATCTACCCGGAAATATGTTTTTAATTATAGCGAAGTGTGTTAAAGACGTTAATATCAGTGACAATACACAAATACATTTATGGCCCCAGTTTCCATGTTATAACAGGAGACCTTAACATCGTCCATGACCGAGAGTTGACATCATTCCTTAGAAAAGGACCTAAATATCGTCCCCGTCAATTATTAATTGGAATGAGTCATGTGAGTGTCGTAACATGATCATCATCCACGACTCACTCCGTACTTACTGTACGGCTTGGATAAATTAACGAGGAAAAGCTGACAAAAAAATCCTTAGATTATTTTTTTTAATTCCCTAATGAACAGAGTTGATATTCTTATTAAACATTTTAAAAAACATTCAAAAATTACTCCTAACAACAACCATAATAGCCCTATTTCATCAAACATAAGCTAAATGAACTCGCCAAGGAATTTGTTTTTGTCCCGGCTGATAAGACTGCCAATAATATCATTATTGATTGACGTAAATTTTACATTGATGTTCTGCAAAAAGGAAATCACGAATTCACCAACATTCCAACTGACTCAATTTTCGGAAAATGACATCTGTAACAAACATTAACGTTTAGCTACCTCTTTACAAGCAGAACCGAATAACATAAAAGTTCCTACTATGTTCTGGCTTCCGAAGCTTCACAAAACACCTTACAGATATAGATTTATTGCGTCTTCAAGCCAATTTTCCACTGCTAAACTGTCAATTCTACTTACTAGTACACTTGGTACAATCAAAAACCTGGTAATAAATTGTTCAAATAAGGCCTTTGAAAATAGTGGAATTAATTACTTTTGGAGTGTAAAAAAATTCGTTGGGAGTACTTGTTAAATTGCATGCTCATATTGGTGATTTTGAATCTGTTCAAAGTTTAGATTTTTCTACCCTATATACCACTTTGACTCATAATCTCATTAAGAAAAAATCACATACCTAATCAAATGGGCATTTAAAAGTCAGAAAGCGATTATATACGTTCAAACTCTTGTAGGTCATTTTTTAGTAATAACAAACAAAAGAACTATGTTAATTGGACCTGCTTTGATACGATAACTGCACTTGAATTTTTACTAGATAACATTTTTGTTCGCTATGGAGATTCCGTATATCGTCAAGTTATCGGAATTCCAATGGGGACTCACTGTGCACCACTTATTGCGGACCTGTTTCTGTATTGCTACGAGTTACAATATATGATTAAAATCAGCAAAGACCCATCGAAACAACATCTGATACAAAAATTTAATAACACTTTCAAATATTTGGATGATATATTGGCTCTCAATAATGACGACTTCAGTATGTACCCTTAAGATATTTATCCTGCTGAACTGACTTTAAATAAAGCTAATACTAACAATGAACACGAGAAGCTTAATACCAAAATTTATGATAAAAGAGATGATTTTTCATTTCCTATTGTTAATTATCCATTTTTAGATGGTGACGTTACCTTGTCACCATCTTATAGTGTTTATATATCTCAACATGTTCGATTCGCTCGTATATGTAACAACGTATTTGATTTTAACGAAAGAAATCTATGCATTACTGAAAAATTTCAAAAGTTTTGAAACATTGAGCCCAGTGGTTTCAGAGATTTTTCTAAACGTTAACGAACGGTAGGGATGAGGGACGCAAAGTGATGACAAAAATTCACCCCTACTTTCAGTTTCTCAAGAGCCTGAAACGATCACCTGTAATTTTGTAGATCTTGCATCAATGATTATTTTTGCTTTCAATTGATCCAGCAGTTTCAGAGAAGATTTTTAAATGATTGTTTCTATTTTTAGTAACGGTGGCCATCTTGGTTGGCAGTAGTGGTCATCCGTTATAATTCTGAAAGTGGATAAATCCACAAGTTTTGTTCCACTTAGCCCAACAGTTTCAAGAGATGATTTTAAATGATTTTTTTTTTGCCTTTTTTTCTATTTTTAGTAATGGCAGCCATTCCACCAATATTTGGTTCAAATTGGCCGTTGTATCAGACGATTAAAATGTGAAATGTGGATAAGCGACGACAAACTATATATTCAGCAGTAGTTTTATTAAGTTAATTTAGTAATATTCGAGATTAAGAACCGAAAGAAAAGCAAAGTTCCTTTGCTCTTTTACCTATTCTAGTATACATTTGTCTTGTTTTTATATCCAACCATTTCTTTCTTTCTTATTTTGGGAGTTATCATGTCGTGTAGACTGCAAAATGTATCCCAGTGTTTATTTTTTTGTCTTGTTGACTCTGTAAAATATCTGCCATTGTTTCATGTGCATAGTCCTTATAATTTTCCAGTTATGAAGTGTTTGTTTCATGATAGAACTGTTCAGGCAGAGTGCAAGAACTCCTTAATAAAGGGTCAACATCAACTGTTAAAAACTGCTATTTCTTGGATATGTTTACACTTGTTGTTTTTTTAATAACTCAGTCCTTTTAATTGTAATCACTTTCTGATAACCTTTGTATAGGTATAATACAAGACAGTTGAAGACTGGTTATTAAGTAGTTTTGATTTTGGTCTGGTTTCTCCAAATGTGCTTTTTATTAATATAATGTATTTATACTCTCAATAACCTATCCGTAGATATATTACAACCTTATATTTAATCGAGTATCATTTTTCCATCCCTTTTGGGTTCCAATTCTAACAATATGTGGGGCCAGGACCCCCAAAATCAAACTTTGTATTTTGTGCATAGATTAATTGTTTCAAAATATGAAAAGAATCAGTCAAGAGAAACTAAAATCAGCCGCGAAACCAAGTTTACATTTTGGACGGACGCCAAGTGACAAGAAAAGCATAAAAATCCTTTCTCATACCAGATGGACGCAAAGTGATAGCAAAACCTCAAATGGATGGTGAGCTAAACAGGTAAGTAGGTTGAAGGGCGGGGTACTGGTATTATTCCAGGCAACGATCTTTAACCAGCACGTCCACTATTACATTGAAAAAGCTTATCAGAGCTCGATTCATGTTTTGTTTAGCAATTGTGTGCCTCCCTTAAATTGGGAAAAACAGTTTTATCATATAAAAAATGTCCTCGCATTAATAAGAGTGAGATCCCACCCCAACCTAAAATCCCGGTATGTCCCCCGTCTTCATAAGGCCATGAACATTAGAAAAGGCAGCAGGAACGGACACATTGTGCTTTGACATTCAAGAGGACACACCACTATTGCAAAAAGTAAAATATCAAAAATACCGAACTCCCAAGAAAAATTCAAAACGGAAGGTCCCTTATCAAATGGCAATATCAAAAGCTCAAACACATCAACGAATGAAAGACAGCCGTCATGTTCCTGACTTGGTACAGGCATTTCCTTATGTAGAAAATGGTGGATTAAATCTGGTTCTATAACTTACTAAATATCTCACTTGTATGACAGTCGTACAGCATTCCATTATATTGACAACTTATGCCATGTCAAATATTTGCTTTAACTGCTTAAATCTTTTAGATACAAGCAAAAATAAAATGCTCCGCCGGGCGCAGCTTGATACGACCGCAGAGGTCGAACCCTGAACAGTTGGGGCAAGTATGGACACAACATTCAAGCTTGATACAGCACTGAATTTGGATTGTGATTAAATATTTGACACAGCATAGGTTTCTGACACAGAATGAATGTGGTCTAAGAACTTAAATTTTTTTTAATTTACCTATTCAAACCATATCATTATTATTTGCTTTTATATATAATTCAGAAATAACCAATTTTAAATGGAAAATTTATAAGAAAAAAAAAGGAAAAAAGAAAAAAAAATCCCTCCCCCAAATTTTTTGAACCCCCTTATGATTCATCACCCCAAACTCAATCCCAGCCTTTCCTTTGTGGTATGGTACCCTGCGGTACAATTTCAGAGAGATCCATACACTTGAACACAAGTTATTGTCTCACTCGGGAAACTAGAAAAATGCTTGTTTTTATGCCCCTTTTGGCCCCAAATTCCTAAACATTTAGGGAAATTACCCCCAAATTCAAACCCAGCTTTCCCTTTGTGATATGGAACCTTGTAGTACAATTTCATAAAGATCCATACACTTACACACAAGTTATTGTCCTGAAACTTGAAAAATGCTTGGTCTTTTTTTACTTTTTGGCCCCGAATTCCTAAAATTTTGAGGTAATTACCCCCAAAATCAATCCCAGCCTTCCCTTTGTGGTATGGTACCTTGCAGTAAAAATTTTAGAGAGATCCATACACTAACACACAAGTTATGTCTGGAAACTAGAAAAATGCTTATTTTTGGCCCCTTATTCCTAAACGTTTTGGGCAATTACCCCCAAACTCAATTCCAGGTTTCCCTTTGTGATATGGAACCTTGTAGTACAATTTCAGAAAGATCTATACACTTACAAGTTATTGTCATGAAACTAGAAACATGCTTGTTTTTTGCCCCTTTTTTGGCCCCCCCAATTCCTAAAATTTTGAGGCAATTACCTCCAAAATCAATCCCAGCATTCCCTTTGTGATATGGAACCTTGTGGTACAATGTCAGAGAGATCCATACACTAACACACAAGTTATGTCTGGAAGTTACAAATATGCTTATTTTTGGCCCCTTCTTCCTTCACTGTTGGTACCATAACCCCCCAAATCAATCCCAACCTTCCTTTTGTGGAATTGAACCTTATGGTAAAATTTCATAATGATCCATTCAATTAAACTAAAGTTAAGAGTGCAAAATCCAATGTGTCTTTGGACGACTACGACGCCGGACGACAACGCCAACGTCATACCAATATACGACCGTAAATTTTTTTGCGGTCGTATAATAAATGGGGAATGTGTCCATGGGACACAGATGATGCCTCGCTGGCATATCATATAAAGTTATAAAGGGACAGAACTGAAGATCGGTAAAAGTGACAATACCCAAATTTGTAATTGATCCGAATTTTGTGGTAATAAGTATTGTGTATACAAGTTTCATAACATTTGGTTGAGGCAAACTAGAGTAAGAGAACCGAAACGAAAAATTCCGCAATTTTTCCATTTATAAAGGGGCATAACTCTAGAACGGCTAAGGTGACGCCTCCAAAATTCAAACTTGATCTGTGTTTTGTGGTAATAAGCATTGTGTATGAGTTTCATAACATTTGGTTGAGGCAAACTAAAGTTAGAGAACGGAAACCAACTTTGGGACGTATGGACAACGGTAAAACTTAATGCCCCCTGTTATGGTGGGGGCATAAAAACCCTACATGTTTCCCCTATGTTCTACCATGACAGCCATATTTCTTGATGGGTTAAAATTAAATGTAAATTTTATACTAGGTACCCTAAGGATCATTCAGTTCTAGTTTGGTTGAAATTGGTCAATTTGTTTCAGAGATCTTTAAATAAGTTTACACCAGACGATAGATGCAAAGTGATTGCAAAAGCTCATATTGCCTTTTACTCAGTAAAATAAATATGTACAGATAAGTATTTGCATGTTGTACTGGAAGATAAACAAGCTGTCCGCAGAGCTTGACATATTGTATAGATACTGGTCTATTTTTGAGGTTTTGTTTACCTGTTGATGTCTTTTGGTTCTTTGTGTTGTTTTGCTGTTTCATCAAGTTTTATATAATTTTTTTTTTTCTATTAGACTTAACATTTTTTGCTTTTCCTCTTTTATTCTACTTGCATTTAAGTTAGAAACCTTGTGCACAATTATTTGTGTTAGGTTCTAATATGCTCAATTATTTCAGACTTTTTTAATAGGCTTTTGGGACAGACCAGTTGAGACAGAAACCCCAACACATCCCCACTTTGTTGGTCATTTAATGTTTATATCTGATTATTAATATGCAAAAAAGATTCAAGATGCCATAATTTCTTGTCAATAACAGTGTGAAACAAGACCAGTACTGGGTCTGAATCTGTGTCACTGCATACTGTTGATTAAGGTTACTTGTGCTGGAGCATAACTGATCATTCTCTTTCATTGAAGCCAATTATTCCTTGTACAACTAGTGTTGTTAAATTTCAAACTATTTGCAAACAGGAAGTGTTTGCATTGCTGATGTAAAAAAAAAATTCCTTCTACAATGAGTGTTGTAAAATTTCAAGCTATTAGCAAACAGGAAGTGGCTGCACAATAGATACAATCAAATTGCTTTCATTTTGCAATTTTGTGAATTTATTATAATAAAACAATGGATTGTAATTAGATAGGCAAATTATAAATAAGAATTTTCTGGAAAATGAATTGAAATTTCAAACAATCAAAACTCACCAGTAATTCATGTTTATTGACTGAGCTGATACAAATAAACATGCAACTTTTGATTTTGGTTATTTTACAAATAACAATATATAAAACTTTTATTCCTTGTAAGATCATCCACATGATCAACATTCATTACTGTATAAATTCCTGCATTCTCTCTGTCAGATAGTTTATAATATAAATAACTAACCAATCACTGTTTTCAGCATTAGATACAATTTACAGTTAAAAGTCAAGTCTCTTCACATAAAAAAGTCATTTCTCCCCCGCAGTAAAAACATGTTAAAGTCATCGGATCATTGGCTGCTGTTGCATGTTGTTAAATATCCCTGAATATCCTGCCTGTAAAGCTTGTGTGGATGGCAACAACAGTTGATTGGCTCTGACGGCATCCGGGAATAAGGAGTGATAGTTAGGTAGTGGAACGTAGGCTGCTGTTATCATTTTGCCTGAAAAAAAGAAATAATTACAATATAATTGCTAAATTCTTATGTTTCATATCTGTTGTATTTTGTGTTGATTTGTGGAAGGTCCACCAATGTAATAATGTTTTAAATATTCCAATTTCCTAATAGATTCAATTAATTATAAAAATTTTAACCATCTTTCAAGAAATTTCAAAGCAAAACACAATTTTTTTAACTGAATGCTAAGCTATAGATGTTTTTTTGTGTGTCAATTGTTTCCTGTATCATTCACATATACCATGAATCATCTTTTATTCATACTTTTTTCATCTACATTAAAACATTATGCCAATAAAAATTTGAAGGTCAATGTAACTGTTAAGGTCTTATTTTGGCATACAACAAATCAAATTTTTTTATTCTTACTTTTTTATGGAAGGATTACACATACAATTTGCATCTTTGACTTAAAATAAAAAGAACTATAAAATACCTGCAAAATAACGACCATGTAATGCATTGACTGATGCCACTGCTGCTGCTATGGTAGGACATTTGACATAAACATTGCCCTGTGGTGATGCTTTGTCAACAAACAAATGTAAAACACCACCATGTTTATTACATTCATCTATAACATCATCTCGGATTTCTTGGTCCCAGCTAGGTTTCGTTTCCCTGCAACAAAAAAGAACCACAATTATAAAATTAAGCTGTTTAAAATATTTACATGACCACATGCATGACATGATAAATTTTAATTTGAGGCTTTAATATCCACAATCATTTCACAATGTTAGGGTAGTATGGAGGTCTCCTGTTGTCTTGGATGTCTTGGATTATGAAATAGCAGAAAACAACCGGCTTAGATTTTTAATGAAATAAACAATTTTGAGGCAAGAATGCAATTCATTGGTAAGACTTTTCTTTCTGATAGACACAATTTTGTAATTTCATCTTATAATTACAACTCTTTTTACAAATACAGAATATTTTCTGATTGATTCCAATAAATTTAAACTTGGTATAATAAGGGGAGATAATTCTAATAATTTACTTCTATAAAGGACCGTGCAAAGATTTTTTCTAATTGTATACTAGCATGAAAAAAAAATGTCAGTTTCATAAAACAATTTGTAAGAGCTATCTTTTCAAATTTCATAAAAATGTGTCAATTTTTTATAACATTTAGCTTGAAAATAGGTTTCCTATAATTTTCATATAAACTACATTTTGGCAAAGTGTGAAAAATGTGTGTCAGTTTGCTTTATACCCCCATACTACCTTTAATAATTTTTCCCTTATTCTTATACCCCCTGCAAAGAAAGTTTTTGGTGGTATAAAGGAATCACCCCAACTTCCGATATATATGCCTTGTGAAAGCAACTTCTTGAAAACGGCTTGACAGATATTAATGAAACTATACACAGTTGTAAAACACAAACTGGGAATGTCCTTAAAGGAATACAATCTCTGCCCAACATGTTAAAAGGGACATAATTGTATTTACTTACTTTAACATACTAATAGTATTGCAGGGTGGGGGGTATCCAGTTGTGGTTCTGATCAGATGAAACAACATAGGTAAAAAAATAAAACTATAATTTAACACTGATTCTAATATGTTTATAGAAGCATACAAGAAAACCACATAACCCTTTCTTTTGAAACTAACAAGAGTACTATGAAGGTGATAAAAATAATATAGTTAATAGTGCATTATTCATTGATTAACCTTCCTGAAAGAGAGTTCAAAAGAGCATATTTGTAAATTTCAGTTTTCCAAATAATTTTCCACATGGTTCAATTTATAGTACAAAGGCCACTTACAGTTCAAATTATATTTAAATTAATTTTTTCACTCAAAAGAAACTGCTATAATTTTGAATGGTTTTTTTTTCTCGTTTTGAAAGAATAGGCCCCTTACCCAAATGATGTGCAGAAAAAGGCATACCCTAGATGCATCATTTTGTCTTGTGGAAAGTTGTCTCATTGGCAATCATACCCCATCGCCTTATTTATATATACAGAAAATATTTCTAGCTTATCATTACAGCTTTATACTCAACATTATTTATATTTAATTTGTTGAATATGGGGAACATAATTCATTAAACTACCCAACCTTGGACTTGGTACATCTAATACACATATAGCACATTATGAACAGTTTTGATTGGCTTAATAACTATTGTTGTATTACTTACGATGTGGGATCAAACATGTTGGACAACATAAAACACTGAGTAGCTATAGGTGGGGCTGACTGTTGTTGTGGCTGTGGATTATTTCCCATGATTGCTGACACATTTGGAGGTGCAGGACCAGGTCCCATGTTTAAAGCAGAAGCTGCATACTCTGGTATCTGGAATCCAGTTCCTAGAAAAAATGAAAAGTTATTTCATTACTGGTTAAAATTATTTCTCAAAAATCTTTAAACTGCAAATGAAGCATTTCATTGAAAGCAGATAAAAGTAACATTGCTTCCAACTGTAAAACATTGTTTGGAAATTCAAAGGCAATGTATTTGTGCAAGGCAACAGAACTTTTGAACAGCAGTGTAAAATAAGGCATTGTATAATCATGGACTAAAATTTTCAGATCAGATGATGTCAATAAATTTTTAAAAGTTATTAAACAGTGGAAATATTGTCGTAAATGAATTCATAAAATTCAAATGACAGGAATATATTAATTTACCAAACCTGATGGGTACCATTTTGATGTATGATGACAGTAATGATAATCTAATAATTGTAACCAAAAAACTACAATTGTTATCCTTTTCATAGAATGCTCAATTATAAAATGAACAAACAAAACTACATTCTCCTCATAAATCTTACCTTCAGCAAGTTTTGCCATCAATTGCAACCTGCCAGTTGCACCGAGATCTATTCCTGCACGATCCATTTCATCACTATCTAACATGGAATTCTGTTGTAATTCAACTTGTCTCTCTGTCACATGACCAACTTTCATTGGTCTACCAGCAAGCTCAAATCCATTCAACTGTTCCAGAGCTTTCTTTGCTTCCTCTGCATCAGTGAACTGTAAACAATGAAGGAGAACTATATTGCTAAATTTCAACTATGCAAACTTAGTTTAACATCTGTCCATTACATATATATGGCTATGATTGACAAAATACTGGGAAAAATATTTATATGTAAACAGAAGCTGCTCAACTTAGACCAACATTGTTTTATTCATTTACAATTAACCAGTATTACATATTTTGCTGTGGTCATATTATTTTATAGTACACTTCAGATAAAACCTTTTTAAATTTGATGCAAATCTTTCTACAATCAGCATCTTTTCTTATATCCATTTTAGGTGCAACAGTTGGTTAATTTGTTTTTTGAGTTTGCTGAAGCATTAATATTAAAATTGAGCAAACTTTTAAACAAAACATGACAAGAAAACATCGGCACTTAATACAACTATTAAAAAAAGACATCATGTAGATGTTCTTTCATGCTTTTCGTATTTGAGAACAAAATAATGCAGTAACTAAAACTAACTAGAGGCTCTAAAGAGCCTGTGTCGCTCACCTTGGTCTATGTGCTGCAGTGCATATTAAACGAAGGACACACTACAACATCAAAGACAAAAATAGAATTCACGACAAAATTCTCTGTTTTGGTGAAGGTGACTTATTTGTAGATCTTACTTTACTGAACATTCTTGCTGTTTACAGTTATCTCTATCTATAATGAACTTGGCCCAGTAGTTTCAGATGTTCAGATTTTTGTAAAAGATTACAAAAATTTAGGAAAAACTGTGAAAAATTTACTTTAAAGGGCAATAACTCTTTATGGGGTCAATTGACAATTTTGGTCATGTTGACTTATTTGTAGATCTTACTTTGCTGAACAATTTTGCTGTTTACAGTTTATCTCCATTATAATATTCAAAATAACCAAAAACTGCAAAATTTCCTAAAAATTACCTATTCAGGGGCAGCAACCCAACAATGGGTTGTCCGATTCATCTGAAAATTTATGAGCAGATAGATCTTGACCTGATGAACATTTTTACCCAATGTCAGATTTGCTCTAAATGCTTTAGTTTCAGAGATATAAGCCAAAAACTGCATTTTACCCCCATGTTCTATTTTTAGCCATGGCGGTCATCTTGGTTGATGGGCGGGGTCATCGGATACATTTTTTAAAACTAGATACCCTAAGGATGATTTAAACCAAGTTTGGTTAAACTTGGCCCAGTAGTTTCAGAGGAGAAGATTTTTGTAAAAGTTAACGGACAATGACGACGGACAGACATTTACGCCAAGTGATGAGAAAAGCTCACTTGGCTCTTTTGGGCCAGGTGAGCTAAAAATGAATTATCTAATGTGCTTTATTTTGCCATTACTTACAGTGATAAAACCATAGCCTTGAGATCTTGTAGTTTCATGGTCTCGTATCAGCTTAATATCGTCAATCTAAAATGATACATTGTTTTTTTTTTATAAATAAATCAGACAACTTCCTAATAGCTGTATTGAACTTCCATCTGTTTGACATCTGTACATATTTGCAGAAAATTCGTAAAATTCATTTATTCAAATCAGTAATAATATGCCCTTTGGCCATCCCCCCTTTCTTTTGCTCTTACTTTTTTCAATCAATGCAATCATTTGTGGAATTCCTCTGGTTCCTTATACTGTACATGCCGAATAGTTAGTAGGAATCTATGAGGTAATTTCTCAAGGACTTAACGATGTAGTTCAAAATAAGCAATGTTTTTTGCAAGCATTTATTGTGCAAAATATTTATGGCAACTAACTCTTACCTTGCCAAAGGGTTCAAATATACCACGCAACATTTCCTCAGTTATATTAAAATGCAAAGAACCAACATATAATCTCATAGGTCCTTTTAATCCTTTTGTTAATATGTTTGTAGCATTGGCAAGTCTATTTTTCTCTGCTTGTGATGGTTGCACAATTATAGGAACACCCAAAAGTTTTTGATTTGTGAGTCCAATAGCTAATGGCACCGATTCTGTATCATAAAACTCAACATATGCAATTCCTTTGGATCTTCTTGTCTTGTTGTCCATAATCAATCTGACATCTCGAACCTAAAAAATAATTAAACAATGTAAAGTTAAAATCACTATGGATCCTTTTTTACACCATTGCAAGACTTTATAATGTGGCCATACTGGAAAACCCTCTATGGCACTGTGCACAAGACTCATGAGAAGACAGTGAAAATTTTGAACCAGCAACTTTCCCATAAAGGAGTAATGAACATGTACACTAAGTTTCAAGTTCATGTGACCACAACTTCAAGGATTTAACCAAAAATTTAACCAGAGAATGAATTGGTTTCACTCTTTAATATTTCTATGATCAGTAAAACGTATATCAGAGTCGATGTCGAGTGGGGAAGAAGACATCACTATACACAGTTCTAAAAGTTGGCAGTTGTGAAAGAAGTATAAATGTAAATAAATTCATTATATATTGATAGCAAATATTCCTATAAATGAAGCAATACTTTGAATGAGAACTTTCCATTTTTTTTTATCTAAAGATTTTTCAAAATCAAATTACCTTTCCAACTGAAGAGAAAAATTCTTCCAGATCTCTGGGACGAATTCTGGCTGCAAGCTGCATACAAAAAACAGTTCTTGCATCTCTCTCTTCTGGAGTAAGATCAGGTCCTGCTAATCTGCAAGAATCATTACATTTTGTTTATAAGATTCACTCATTCATTATAAATCTTTACTGAATATTGGTTTGTTTTTCATAGAAATTTTGTGTGCTGCAAATGTGTTGAAACAATGTAACTATCTGAACAAGTATGCAGTACTTTCATATATCCAGGATTTTCAATAAGTTTGCAGAGAACAAACTGTTTACTAATTTGACGCGGCTGAAAAAAGATTGAAAGGGGGGACAATACTTAGTCCCCTTCCGGTTCAAAATTAATTGTACTGGAACAATATGCTAACTTGATCTATAACTTGTCATGGTGTAAAATATTTAACAAATATCAAGTCAATATCTTCAAGCATGATGACAAAAAGTGTGGAAAACTGATTATTTTAGTGAATTTTTTAAGTCCAAGGACCATAACTCTGCACAAAACCATCAGACCGGAACAAAATTAGAATTTGGGCTGTAACTTGTCATGATAAAACTAAATACCAATTATCAAATCAATATCTTCAAGCAGGACGAAAAAAAGTGTGGAAAACTGATTATTTGAGTGAATTTTCTAAGTCCAAGGATCATAACTCTGCACAAAATTATAAGACCGGAACAAAATTCGAACTTGATCTTTAACTTGTCATGATAAAACAATATACTAAATATCAAATCAATATCTTCAAGCACGAAGAAAAAAGTGTGGAAAACTGATTTGCCGGACAAACGGATGACCAGATAGACGGACGGAGTGCAAACCTAAAGTCCCCTCCGACTTCGTTGGTAGGGGACTAAAAATTGCAGGACAACCTACATGTAATTTCAGTGATTTTTTTTTTTAAATCAAAATTTTCAGAGTAGGTTAGGCTATAAAACTATAACAGAAACTGGAAACAGGATAAACAATTCATGTACATCGACCTGTTGTTACGCTGACATATTGTGTGTTCTTGTTGAGATATATACTTGATGACCATATCAGGGTTGAATGGTTCCAAAAGTTATTATGATCATTATTAAAGAATTGTCAGTCACAAGAAGTCAACTATCTATGTTCATGCGTAAATTGCATATGTGATTCTGTTTTCGCCTGCTTTTTTTCTTTTGGGGGCTATAAAGAAATCAAGCAACATCAGTTTTCTTTTTGCTTGTTTACTTGTCATCTCAACTCCTTGGATCAACATGTGACAAAAGGGTACTTAACTAATATGTAGAATTATCCTTTTTTTAGGTGCACAAATGATCGCATTAAAAAATCTTTTCAAATGTCTCGTTCCTTATCCATCTTCGTAACGTTGTCAAGATTCTATAAAATATACTATAACGCGGACCTCGATGAGAACACCTTACAAGGTGCAAGCTAAGACATGTCAATTCAATCGATAACAAATTGTTTTAAAGAACGATAGCACAGTTTTTATTTTATTTTTATTTGGAAACACAATTTGAAGCAGCTATTTCCTCAATTTGAAACAGGGAAATTTCGCCGAGTTTTACATTGTAACTTTTATGAACAACTGTGAAAATAGTGTTATGTTTCCCTTTTAGCATTATTTCCAAGCTAATATCATAAAAAATTTGTGATTATTGCAATTGCACAGCATCAAAATCTAAAAAAATAAACTACCTAGTGAATTTGAAGGGACTTGTACTAGAGCTACGATCTCTCCCTCTTTCACGAGACCTGCTGCGACTTTTTCTCCTTGGTGGAGACCTCTTCTTGAATCTGTCAAAACTTCTACTTCTCCTGCCACTTCCTCTATCACGACTCCTACGTCTTTCCCTACTTCGGCTTCTTCTGCTGTCCCTGCTACGGTCATTTCTCTTTCTATCACGATCTCTGAAGAGTTGATAATATGAAATGTGATGCAATAATGTTAAATTTTCTAGTGACTAAGTTTAAAGGCTTTGTTGAAATTGCTGCTTAATAAAAACTTTTACAAACTTGTGAGCATGAGCAATTTCCACAAGAATTTTTATGAAAATATATTCTAATGCATAAAACTGCAATTCTTTTCCAATCTATAAATCCAGTGGTGTATGGAGCGTCTGGATGATCGGGAATAGTGGTACCATAAATTACAACCAAAAACAATACAAGAAGTATCTTAAAATCATTTAATAATCAAATAAATGGGGAATGTGTCCATGGGACACAGATGATGCCCCTGCTTGCATATAACGTTATACAGGGACATAACTTAAGAACTGTAAAAGTGACGCTACCCAAATATGTATTTGATCTGAATTTTGTGGTAATAAGTATTGTGTATAAGTTTCATAACATTTGGTTGAGGCAAACTGAAGTTATAGAACGGAAACGAAAAATTCAGCAATTTTTCCTTTTGTAAAGGGGCATAACTCTAGAAGGGTAAATGTGATGCCACCAAAATTCAAACTTGATCTGTGTTTTGTGGTAATAAGCATTGTGTATAAGTTTCATAACATTTGGTTGAGGCAAACTAAAGTTAGAGAACGGAAACGAAACATTAAGCAATTTTTCCATTTGTAAAGGGGCATCACTCTAGAACGGTACAAATAATGCCACCCAAATTCAAACTTGACCTGTGTTTTGTGTTAATAAGCATTGTGTAAAAGTTACATAACATTTGGTTGAGGCAAACTAAAGTTAGAAAACGGAAACCAATTTTGGGACGGACATAGAGACGGACAAGGGTAAAACTTAATGCCCCCTCCACTACGGCGGGGGCATAAAAATGTTTTTAAATTTAAATCAACAGATGTCTTGTTAAGATTGTCAAAATCTATTACTGCTTTTGGTTTTACTTCTTTCATTATTTTACAGTGAAAATATCCCAATATGGTTAACTAGATCAAAAAATTTTTACAAGCAAGAAACAAAGAAAAACTAAACAAACACTATTCATCTTTACACAAATAACAAGTTGGAAAAGGTTTCCCCAAGACAACAAAACATCATTGAAATAAAACTTACCTTCTACGATCACGGTCACTTTCTCCTCTATCCCGATCTCTTCTATCTCTGTATCTATCTTCATCACCTCTTCTTTTCCTGTTGAAATAATAACAAAACATTTAAGCACTCAACATATCTTATAGCCACAACCATGTTTAGTTGTTGCTGTACTTAAAAGATTAATCTAGTCGTAATACAGAAAAGTTTGTGAGTACTTGCTTGGTCTCACAGCCTCATTTGGTCCAGAATTATAAACATGATTAATGGCGATATATCAACATTTCAAATATAGAAAATAGGTAAAGAAAGAAACCACTTAGTTTCAAAGGATAAAATCTTTTTTTATTTGGCAGTGCATTATCATCATGTAAAAAAACACCTGTTGCAAGATGCAATCATAGAATGTTGCTCAATGCTTAAAAAATGCCTAAAATAATACTTTCAACATGAACCTTTTTCTTAGAAGCTATTACTAAATTTTTTTTATTGGACAAAACTTTGAATTGCAAAAAAAGAAAAGTTGTTCTATGCCTGTAACAACATTTTGACATTCTCTATGCAAATATCATATGTGTATTTCTATTTGTACTTATTCCAATTTGATACTACTATATGAAATGTATGTATTGTGGAACTTTAAAAAAAGGTTCTCCACGGACTGTGTAAAGTTTACATGCACATTTTTAAAATCTGGATATAGTCAGGGCAATTTAGAGATTGTACAACCTTTTTCTATTGTTCAAGACATATGTTGACCCTAGATGTCTGTGTATCTTATTGACATAGACCCCATATCTCTGTTTATTCCTATCAAATGACATTCCAACAATATTACAATGTATTTTAATTGTTAGAAATGCCTTATTTTTTATTCCAGCAGAAAGAAGGCATTCAAACTTCTGTTAAGTATCTTGATGAAACTTGTGTTGTGTGTGATTGTTTACACTGGCATCAGTTGATAATTTTTATGACAAGATATGCATTTGTGGGCAACAGACATTAAAAGACTTTTCTTTAAGCGCAGTGAATAAATACATGGCTAAAATATATGAAATAACCATATAATGCAATTTAGAAATATTCCTTTGAAGAAAATAGGTCTGGTATTAAAATCACCATGGTTTCATGCAACTTGACTTGAAAAAGCACTTTAATTACAATTTGATGGAGAGTTTCCGTTTCTGAAATTTGTCAAGAATTTCATTTGTTCCATCAGATACTCAAATTAATCTATATCTGGAAACATCCCTTAAAAATAGCGGTTTTTAAAGTGCAATATGAAAACAAATACTGGTTTCCTTATTTAAGCCTTGATTTTGGACAAATATCACCAAAAAGTCCTCAAGACCAAAATGACAAACCTGTGATCGTCTCCTTAATCTACATTACAATTCTAACAAATTACAAGTCTAACTTCTTATGTTTGAAAACATGCATCAATTAAAATAGGAAGAGAATACTTAAGGTCAAATAAAAAAAGCATGTCTGATAAAATTATATACAAACTTTCATGACTGTTAGAAGGAAAAAACAAAACCTTTTAAATTAACCACACCTTATTACCTAAATTTCAGGTTAAATATTTATTTATTCTCTAAGGTTATTTCCCCTTTATGTTGCACTGATAGTTATTGCACCTTTGAACCTAGGTTATGCAATAGTTTTTTTTTATTTTTGGCTGCCATCATGTTTAACAATAAGGCTAGGCTAAGCTTCGGTGTTTAAGTTTATTTTTTACCAGCTGCACAAACATAACTTTGTCTACAAGTTACCTGCCATAATTTGCTAGTGTACATGAATGTAGGACCGTACACATACCTGGTTAATTATCTGATGGCATTTTCATGTTCTCCCTTATGATAGTGTTTACTGATAGCACCTATATTCAACAATACAGAACCAGTCATTAGATAACTTCAATTTCAATTTATTATTCTTGTTATTACATCTGTTCAATGTCTTATTTTAAACAACTCTGGGACCCTGTTAGAAACCCAAAAAGAAAGCACAGATTACATTCTTCATATTTAACATGCAACCTGTTGGAAAGGGTAAAAATTGGACAAATTTCTCTCAAGGGGTGTCTCTCTTTCCTGCTTTTCTATGTTAATCCATTCACAACCTGCAACATTAAAATTAAAATTTAGGGAAGGTTTTGATTACTACGAAGATATCTTTACACTTGTTAATGCAAGTTAGTAGATCTTTTGTAGATACAGTTCCATGTTCGTTCTTCAAAGAACTGCATCAATTTTAGTGCTCTATCAACAACCTACCAGTACACCATCTGAAACCCGCACAGAAATGGTACCAAAATTGACAAAGTTTAGCTAATCTGCTTTCCAGAGGAAAAGCATGAAAACAAGTGTCTTCTTCAAAATATAGGGCTACTTTAAACTATTAAAAGTCACTTCTTCTGGAGTAGGTTATAATTCTTGATGGGACTGATCTACTAACTTGTTCAAATATTGGGATTACTATATAATTTTGATATTCCTCATGTGTAAAGAAATTCCTATATATCATATGTCTCTTCTGAAGATATTGTACTAAAACATTTATAACTTTGTTTTAATCTTATGTCTTACCTTCGGTCTCCTCTGTCATAAGATGAAGCATCTCCTCTTCCATCATCCTGTGTATCCAAACAAACAGCAAATCAGCAGGGAAGAAAAACAAAAATTGAACAAAAATGCATTAGTTATCTATCAATAAAGAGTCTTATAAACTTATAAATCTTAAATTTTAAGTGTTACCTTCTTTTGGTTCAACTGGTTTCCTACTTGGCTGCAATATAAAACTCGCATTCATTCAATAATTTTCAGTTTTCTTTTTTATATCAAAACTGAAAATGATTGACTCATTGATAAATATGAATGTGGAACTAACTTTATTGACTTATCTCTACAAAATGCATTAAATACAATCCCATACAGGGCTGTTATCTCTACAAAATGTTTAAATTCAATCCAATACAGGGGCTGCACTGGCTCAAAAAAAGTTGGAGCCATACATCTCATCAGGTTTAAGGGCAATAGTAGCATGAATTTCAAGTTTTCAGAACATTTCAATTTCATTTAATTGGTTTACAAAAAAATGAAAACCAGTTGACTTTCTAAGATGAACAGTACAAGAATCATGACTATTGTGTATAAAATGTTCAACCAATTCAATTTTTTTCATATATCTTAACACTTTTTTATTTAAATTATGCTTTCTTTGTTTTTGGGAGTTTATGTATATATAACTCAGATGTTGCTATTTAAGAAATTGTAAATTTAGAAATTTTTGTAAAGTTTTCATTACTGCTAAAATTGCAATAGGTTAGATTTCACAAAGTTAAAAACTTGAGAATTTTAAATTTTAATAGCATTAATGGTATACATCAATTTATGAAATCAAAATGATTAATATCGCATTTTTGGTCATTGTTCAACAGTCACAATAATAAATGCAAACAAAAATTTCTGAATTTACAATATACATTGTGTGTTGTCTTCTATTTCCTACTCAAGAAATGTCGAGCACTCGTAAACGACTGTCATTATTAATATACAATGTATATTTTCTGTTTGACGGACAGATCAGAATAACATTAGTCTGAGAAACATTAGAATTTTCTTCAGACAGTTTGCAGAGTAATAAACTGGACAATTCCTTTCCATTTGCAGCCCAATCTATGGCAAAAAGTAATATCTTGATCTTTTTGCTAGAGAAGTGCAGTTTCTTTTTTTATTGATGTTCTGTTTTATCATGACTGGCATCACCTAAACAAAACACCTCAAATAAATATATGCCAGAGTATCAAGTTACAACAAAGTTAGAAACAGAATTAGTCAATTTAACAGAATAATTTTTGAGTTGCTGAATGAATAGCTTCAATCCTTTATTCATATTTGAGATGTTTTATTTTTCTTACAAATGACATTGATTGCATTTTGCAAAACACAAGAAAGCATAATCCACTGTATGATTTACCTCCAAAAATATTCCCTTAACATTTGCTAAAAGGAAGGGTGGTCATCTTGATTTTCCCTTAAAAGCACCTGAGAAATTCAATGCAAAGTCTATATTAAACTGAATCTTAGTCACAGATTAAAAGTTAGTTCCACAAAAACAAGTCATTCATTCATCACACTCACAAAATCAAGTAGGAATTATCCTGATAGGCTGGATTCTTCATGACAGGATGTCCTCAGTGATCACCCAAACTCTGTATTCATATGGCCCTGAGATGAGAGTGAGGGATATATTCAGTATCTTACTCTCAATAATATTGTTGGTGTGTGTTGTAAATAAAAGATGTGCTTTTGCATTCTTTTTCATTACACATTTGTGTAAAAACAATTTTTAAAAGTAAAATTTATAAGAAAAGCCATTAAAATTAATATCATTGATAAGTTATAATCTGTTGAATGAAATACAAATGTCATGAATATGAAGCTCAGAGTATAGAATACAATTATCAATATAAGTGTTCATCATGTTCATATAATATTGTTAATACCAATATGCATTATAATCATTTAAATCAGCATTTGAATAGTTTCCTTTAAATCTTGTATAAAATGTGTAGTTTTCTTTTAGAACCCCGTTCATCAGTACCTGGACTTTGAAGACAAATTTCTGTGGACACATTTGCAACAATGGGTATCTACAGATAAACCAAACAAACTCAATTACTAATCACAGTTGTTAACAATAAATACATATTCCTAAAACATTGTAATCTACCTTTTTTCCTAAAGAAAAAGTCTTTGAAAAATGTTATAAAGTTACAGTTAATAAGCTCAACTACTTTTGCAGTTGATGTCATGCATTCTTTATATAAATATAGTGATTCTATTTTATACAAACAACAAAGTTTACATAATATTGATAATAATTATAATAACTCTATTAACTGGTGTATGTCAACAACAGGATATACTGTTAGTCCCCTCAGATACAATGATCTAACAAATCATACAATGGTATCAATTGAAGGCTTTTTTAAAATATAAAACTATAAAATCAATTAATTTAACTGCTACATTTTTATCAAGGGAAAATGTGTTGCCTATAGCAGTCTTTTGACTACAATCCTATGCAAGTACATGGTATATATTGAGTCTGACTAGTCAAATTGTGTAAGAAAATATTAAAATAGTTCTGTAGATACATGTAGGCCTTTCAGATGATTTTTTAAAGAATTTTGTTAGTACAAATGTAACTGTCCAGCAATAGCCGATATGAGAAGAGAAAGCCCAAGATTGCCTTGCATGTCTTCTTAACAATGTCCATATCGAATGCAAGTGTTTCCCTTTGAAATGATTATAGAGGAAATGTTCTGTTCCGAAGTCTAACAATCAAAATGGCAAACCGTGCACATGAATATATCATGGAAATGTGAAATATATGTTTTCTGATTTCATATGATAAAAAGTAAAATAAAATACCAAGTTACATTTTGAATTAAAGATGAGTCTGAATGATAAAAATAAACAAATGTGTTTGCCTTCTCAACAGCTGTTAGTATTATCCTATTTTTCATATTTGGATCAATTGGTTTTTTTGTTTTTTTTCTATCTTGATGAATATATTCTTTGATAGAATTAAATAAGGCTTGACCAGGGTTCTCACTAAGAATTTTTGAAGGCGAGTCCAGGGACTTGTCATTTTTGTCCATGGTGAGTCCAACAGTAAGAAGAAGATATTTTATTGCAATATAATTTATCATTTTAGCCTCCATGACCTAATAGAGCAATGAAATGACATTAAATTCAGATTTCTTTTAAACTTTTGCTATAAAATGATGATATGTGTGTTCAGTTTATACAAAATATTTCAATCTTGATGCATCTTTGGATTCACCAGTTTTGAAAATGGTGAGTCCAGACAGATTTTCACGAGTCCAGGACTCATGGACTCGCCTTAGTGAGAACCCTGAGCCTACTTTCAGTTTTATATATAAATGGTTCACATTAAATTTTCCAGTAGTCTTTTATCATGTTTATAGCTGTGATTGTTAAAAGCCATATGGTGACCTGTGAATTACCTTGTCTCATCAATTGGGATTTTGGTAATAACTTGTTTCAGTGAAAATGCATTTTTATATACAGTCTGTACAGGTACAGTGTTATAGGTTAATCATTTTCAGGACAAAAACTTACAAGCTAAAAATGAATATCAATCTTGGATTGTCATACACACTATTTAAGTCAGGATGGCAGATCAAGCCTTTATTCTTAACAAGGTAACAGACTTCACAAAACATGCCGGATAGTCAAGAGAAATACCACCAGTTCAGCTTTTTCAGAACTATTTCGGATATACAGTAAAGAAAGAAAAATCCTTTGGAAACATTACTAATTTGTGTTTGTTGCTGCAAAGCATGTGCTAAATACTGGATATGGAGTATAAAACAGATCTTGCATTGTACAACACAGGGTTTACTCCGCGATTTGAACAGCTTTATATCTTAAATTTAAGTACAAGTATAAACGATTTTTGGCAGTTTTTGGTCAGTCAGATGAATCATTGCAGATCATCTTGCCAAATGTCTGAAAGTCTTTTTAATCAATTTCATGAAGTCTTGAGGTTACCCCTAAATGTGACACACTCGACAGAAGAAAAAAGTATGTTTAACTGCCAGTTACGTTGGAATCTTGGGATTTGATCAAACCAATTGGAGCAAGAAAACCCGATCAACTTTAAAATACAATTTTTCCACAATGTTCATGATGTTTGAAGCTTAAAAACTTAACTAGAAATTAATTCTATTCACAGCTACTTTCAGTAAACTCACCTCTTTGTTTCTGTAAGGTGCTTCAAGCATAGCTTCTACATCAAAATCATCTGCCATTTTCACTATGAAGTCTGCAAAAGAAATTATTCAACTATGAATATCTTTATCAAGTTAAGTTTCCATATTGTGGCTTAGATAAATGATAAAATTAATATAAGTCAAACCTGTATTAACCCTTTCACCAATAGCTGCCCAGACAAAAGCTACTCTTGAGACGATGGCTTCCCTGGCTACTATTACTCAAGTGGGAGATCTTCATAATAAATGTCAATAAAAACTTGTCTGTAGTTATTTGTGTCTTTATTTCATTCACTAACACCATGAACACCATGTTCACAGTTTTGTTCATGTTTTGATGATTTTTTCTTCATAAAATATTCAAATTTTCGGCATTATCTAGGTGAAATTCTCAAAATTCTGCTCTTTGACCCAAAATTGTCATTTTTTAACCCAAAACGGCAAAATTTTGAAAAATTTAATGAGGCTGTAAAAATTTATTACACTGAATGATGTCCATTCCAATTGTTTTGTACATAAAAAGACATTTTATGTCAAAAAAGTATACTAGTTTGGCTTCAATTCTTCCATACTCTTTCAAAAAAATGTTCCCTCATTTCAAATTCTCGTAAATTCCGTAAATTTCCTCTGAATTTGACACGGTTTTCAACAAACGGAAGTGCCATGTTTACACTTTCATCCAGGTATTCAACAAAGAAAGATAACTCGTGTTTGCACTGTTTTGACCGGGAAATATAAAAGGTATTCCGATACCAGTAAAACGGGACTCATCGTCAACTGTCTGAAGCGTGAATCCCGGTAAACCGGGACTCATCGGCGAAAGGGTTAAGCAGCTGCAGTCACTCTTGGGAATAATCAAGTGACCTTAAAATGAGGTTCAGAAAAAAGATTCTGATTTTGACATCCCTTGTGGCCTGGATCAGGGCAAATCATTTTTAGTGTTAACAATCGGTAGTTATGGTTCTTGTCACAGTGAAATGAAAGACATGGTGAAATCCAGTACTGTAAATTTGAAGAAAACATCCAAAATATATTAAAGTTTGTTGAAAAATAAGTTTGTGGTACAGATTTCAATGGCAACGAAACAGAGTAGAACACAAGGAATTCACAAATACACCTATAGCACAATCTCAGCTGCTAACGGGTTCTAATTTTTATTAATGAAATATTTCGATACTGAACACATATATTTTTCGTCATGATTATTTCGGTAGTTAAAAGTTTAAATGAAGATTTCTTGCAAATAATTAGCAGTTTTCACGCTTAAACACAGACCCAGCAGCCCAGGCTTGTAAAATGGCCTTTGAGCCTGTAAAAGATCATTTCTCCAAGAAAACAGAATCTAACTAAAATTTTCCAAAAAATGAGCCCTGGGCCTTTAGTAAAAAGTTCATCATGATGACTGAGTTAGGTGACCGCTGATTTGAGTTAAATTATATAGAGAAAACGTTTGGGAGGGTCTGAAAGAGACCGTTAAAGTCTGTATATTTCAGACTCAGTTGTTCAGAATGATTCTATGAAAAAAAACACTGGTTCAAGGTAAGGTTAACATTAAAAGAGATTACACCAACAGGTGCTTCCATTTTGATGGGATTTGTCAAGTTCCATATGGCACCCAACACTCCAATAATAAGATAAACACATCATCATTAGATTTTTCTATTTCGTGTCATATGGAACTTTCAAAATTATACACTAGTCTACAAATATCGGTTACAAACTTAAGTTTCGGCCTTCTATTAATTCATTGTTATTTTTTGTTTAAGATTAGGGCTATTGTTCGGAAAAGAATTAGTTCAGTATATCTCTTAAATGGTTAATGGTGGGCTAGGAGCTCTTCAGTAGTTCACTCGCGTAACTTACGGCGTAGAGCAGAAGACCCAAGTTTCACCTAAAATGAAACCAGAATTTTCTTTCAAATTTCACCTAAAATTATTATCATATGTTGCATCTTAAGAAATGCATAATCTTAACATACATTACAAGTCTTTTTTCTGTATAATAACTGTGTAAATATAGCAATGTAGCTCTTGATATGTTAGGTTTCTTCCTGTTTCTCACAATATGGCGATTCTGACGTTTTAATGGGGTTTACACAATCGTCGACGCGGAGTCCAGATTTAACAAAATTAAATACTACATTTCCGAGCGTGTTGTGCTTTTAAAAAATAATACAACAACAATAATAATAATTATATTAAAAAATTGTATTATTATTATTAATTGTATTGATTGAACAAAATTAAACACAGTTTATCTTAATGTCATTAAGAAAGGCGAAAGACACCAAAGGGATATTCACACCAGGGCCGTAAATAGCCTCTGTTAAAAGTGAGGCAAAATTATTCGCCGAGCGGAGCGAGACGAAAAAACTTCCGGCGAGAGGTCTGGGGGTCGCTCAAGGCCCCCAGAAGCTCTGGGAAAAAGGACGCAAAATCGTGCATTCTGAGCGTTTCCCGGACCCTTTCTTAATCTGAAGCGCAAGTTTTGTTTTAATTATTTTTTTGACAATATTTTGGTCTCAAAGCAAAATATATAGATTCAGTGTAAGAAGTTTTTAGGGACAACATCAAAATACCGATATGTAGAATAAAGCAAAAATCGCAATTCACATAATTAAGTGTGTGGCTGATGTTTTTTTTTTTATTATTGAGTTTCTGCCTTAATTGTAGGAAAAATGTATTAATACCTGTCAATTATGTTTTTTTTTCAAATCAAGTTAAGAAGGGGCTGATTATCATTGATATAACTTTGTGAATTCAGTTTTTATAACACATTTCAATTACAAATTGATGTAATTCCGAACTGGGATAGAAAGGGTACACCGTCAGGGTAGACTCAGAAAAACTGTTCTTAAGACCTCATTGCTACATTTTTCTGCTGTTTTGGTACGTATACCGAGTGATTAATGTCGGATCTGCCTGTTCTGGTCTTATATTTTGTTTAGACTTTGGTGTAATTTTTTTGTGACTTTGAAAATTATTCACAGCTACTTTAAGTACCGCTTAAGTCGACGCTAGGGGCCGTCTTGACATTGTTGTAAGGTATGAATGATTCGTTCATTGTTGAAGACCCTCCAGCGACTGTCAAGATGAAGAACAGGAATAAAAGCCCTGTTCATTGAAAATTTGTATTTTTTCCATGCACATTTACTCCATATTCCTGTATTTTCTATTAAAGGGCCTGGACGCGGCTTAATGCAAGTTTACGCCCTTCAATGTAAAAGGTCATATTGCAATACATTATTTTTCTTTTTAAATGATTTGATTCCGGGAGATTGGTTGTCTCACTTTAATTTAACCCATGTCATCTTTTTAGTTTAACAGAAAAGAGAGCCAGCTTTGTATTCTTTAATATAAAGTATAATTTTCCATGAAAAAACGACCAATTTTTCTATGTCCGGTAGCTTCATATCTTCTCAAAACATTTTCTCGAACAATATCTAGACATCGGTGGACATGTAACATTGCCAAACCACACAACCGTTCACCCGTCATTACCGACCACTTCGACTATGCTATTTCGATATTTTTTTTAATTTTTTATTATCAATGTTTCATAGACTAACCGATACATAATTTTACAATTTAAAGTAGTTATTAAAATTAGACGAAAGGTCCTTAAATATAGACGTTACGCTCGATGTTGGTGACGTTTTCTGATTTCATGTACCTATGACCAATAATCGGCTTAAAATAAGAAAAATACCGGAAAGATCAACTGTTTTTTTGTGATAAAATCTTCGGAGCACTTAAAACATTATTTTTACGGTGGCTTATTAGTTTTTATTCACTTTTGTTAATCAGCTTTCCAAAAACAAACGAGAAAAATCACATGTCTTTGCGTGTAGACGGGTAACATACTAATATTGTTTTTGAGGGTTCCTCCTAATTTCGGATACCAACAAGTAAATAGAATATAAAAATTGTATTCCATTTTGAAGAGGAACGTTAGGGCTTTGTGACGTCATATTTGTATGACGTAATCGACGCCATTTTCGAATCGAGTAGACCTTGGAAGAAGCCATTTCAGCTTGTAGACACTGAAGGAAAAATATACGCCCTTTGCAGCATAACAGGTGAGAATCCATCGATAGCGAGATTATTTGTCATCAAAGTCTTTATATCAAATATCATTATGTAAAACAAACTTGGAAAATGCTTTAAAAACATTGATTCCCAATTTAAAAGAACGAATTCCATGAAAACTTCAACATCATAACCAAATTCAAAGCCCCGAAAAACACTGTCACAACAACGTTTAAAAAAAACATGCCCTACTTGAAATTATCAATACCGAGTAAAAATATGTAAAGCATATGTAAAAAAATTGAGAATGGGAATGGGGAATGTGTCAAAGAGACAACAACCCGACAAAATTAAAGAGCAGACAACAGCCGAAGGCCACCAATGCAGCGAGAAATTCCTGCACCCGGAGGGGAGCCTTTTACAACCATCCCATTCCCCAAAAAATCAAACTTGGCAATCCAATATTGTCATCTTAGAATTTTGACAGACATTAAAATCTTACAATCATTGAAAATACGCAAAAGTTGATTTGTTAAAGGTTGACCTAAAAAAAATTATACCGGGCCTCCCTACAGCCATATTTAAAGTTAAAAACAAAAAGAACAAGTATTAAAAAAATCTAAAAATTGTAAGGCGTTTCTCCTCTTCATTACAATTTTCATAAAAAAAAAAAAACTTGTTTTTTCAACCGGTAAACATTATTTTAAAACAAATTATGCATGAATGCAAACGCGTGGACTTGAATGTAGCGTATATCCCACATTTCCGTTCTTTCACAGAACACCATACGTATTCCTTATATTTCTATTTGTCTAGAGGCCACTAGCTGGCATACACCCATATCTCCTTTTATTAACAGAAAACCAAGTGTTTAACGAATATACTGGACGTCAATATTACAAAACGTCAATATAACATGATTTTGACGTTAACATACGACGTTACCAAAAGTGACACCAACATCGAGCGTAACGTCATAATAAAACTCAAGTTTAAAACAAAATTACTAATTTACAAATGAAATTCAACGCTAAGACAATAGTCATGAAAAAGGGCAATCAATGAACAAAAGACAAACCCGTGAACAGATAAGACACATAACAACAAATTATAGACAATGAACACTGAAAAGTAAAAATAAATGAGAAACATGGATCCCGAAAAAAACAGGGGCGACGTCAGAGGGTGAACAGAACTTTCTTCTTGCAAGACACTCGCCGTGAAAACAATTTGATATGAAGACAAGCTTTTTTTTCAACTTATTATTTTTTTTTTAATTTCCAACACGAGGCATTTGCCTCATTTGCCTCAATTACGGCCATGCTATCCTGTCTACGGCCATGCACACTCATAAGTCCGAAAACAAACTGACGAATTCTAGTCACTTCGGCACCTAATTAATCTGGGCACCTGGTCAAATCGGCACCCGGTATAGTAATTTCGGTACCTAGTCAAATCTGGTCATCTACATCTACATCTACATCGTTGGAATGCAAAGGGTTTAAAACCCATCACGCAAGTACTAATTAAGTCAGTCAATATGGTGCTCATTAAAAACATATTTACATGCGAAATTAAAATTTAGTGTTTGTTGCGTGACTGACTACTCTGTAAATTAAGATGTGAGGCTGTTCTTGAATGCCTCTGCATCTTCTATATTTAACAGTCTTATTGGTAAGCTATTCCAGTCTTTGATGGTACGTGGAAAGAAGCTGTATTTGTAGGTGTTGGTTGAAGTTTGAAGGTTTCTAAATTTACTTTGGTGATATTGGCGTGTTCTCCTGCTTTGTTGTTCTACATAATCTGGAATATTTATGGCTATTTTATGATGTAAAGCTTTGTGGGACCTGGTTAATTGAGCACCCAAGGTAGTTATTTCGGCACCCATGATTAATATCATATTTGCAAGTAAACTATTGAAGAATCTGTTTTCCCCGTATTTTTCAACATATTTTCGCTCGAGGTGTCAACGTATATATTTGTCACGCATGTACGTAAACTGGAATCCGCTTGTATTACGCTACACTCTATGAACAAAGTGTAGTAGTCAGCCGAGAACCAGCTTAATTAGCATGTACGTTACGCACGGTGTTCGGTTTATTTTCCATTTGACCCTTTCTTGAGGCATAACTACGGATTAAAACAAGTCAAATCTACGCATTTTTAAACGGCAAACTGTCTTGATTCATCATTTGAATCGAAATCCAATAAATAATGGTTTTAATATATTTAACAATATGTTTTTATTCTATAATTTACCGGCGATGATTCCGTGTGCATGATGCCGCTTTTACCGCGTAAGACGTAACAACAAAAACCATATCCATCAAAATAAAAAAAAAATAGAATACAAACTGCTGAATAGATTTCGATAAAATTTGCTTTAGAGGGAAATGATATGATCATAGTCGTGGCGTAAACGGTGAAGGTAATTCTAAAGTCAGTACGACGTCTATCGGTCATATTTCCTACTGGAACTTATACTCATAATTATCAAAGAACTTCCATGTCATGATAACTGTACATTGCTAGTAAACATACCAAAATTGGTCCCAGCGTTATCCATTTTATATAAATAGACAGGAAATACAGAAGAAAAAAATGAAATTACAATGATTAAATTTGTTTTTATCCTTATATATGTTGATTAAACAATAGCTTGGGTAATAGCTTCTTTTTTAATCTAAGTTATTTTAATCATAAAACATCAAAAGCTACGTATTCTAACTGCATAATTGCATGTGCTGATTTTTAACGATGTAGGAAATGTATCTTTTTAATTAACCTCTGCAATAAAAAAAAAAAGTAAAACTATTCTCCCCATACTTCAAATAAAAAGGATAGAAAAGGGTAAAACAAATAGTTGGTGCCAAAAAATTGACTAACCAAATGCCGAAATGACTTTAAATAGGTGCTGTTTTGCCTGGATGCCGATTTGACTTTTTCTATAGGTGTCGAATTCGCATTTTACTTAATTTTGTACCCAAACTGACAAGACCAAGGCATGACACATTAATATGAGTCCCATCCATTGTCTTTGCATGAAAATACGGGCTTCACTTTT